GCGAGAGACCTGGTTTCGACTCCTGGCAGGGTGAAACCTTGGGCAAGTTTCCTTACTCCACACGCCTAATAATAATCCCTCNAAAAAAAACAATAATAAATTGGTCATTTCAATCCACGACTCTTTGTGGGACACTGCTGTGTGCAATTGGCTGCCACATTTTGTCCACAAATTACAGTCAATTCACTTTACAGTCTATTCTGTGAAGCGCTTTGAGACGTCTAGAAGCCGGGAAAAGCACTATATCAAATGCAAGGATTATTATTATTATTAGTTATCCTCACCTATGCAGTTATTTGGTTCAAGCAGACAGTATTATTGTTATAAAATGCTGCCATCTAGTGGTTATCAATAAACTGTTCAGAAATTCTGTTATATTTACACTAAAGCCCTGGCTGATCATACCAATGGGGGGAGAGGTCAGATCCGGTTCGGTGAGCCGGAATTTCTGGTTAAGTGTACCGACATTTACCAGCATTGTTTGATGCCTGGCAGTGCTGAAAAATACTGGTAAATGCCCATACTAGTATTGTAATTGTTTGAATCCGTGAGCAGAAGATAACCAATAAGTTATCAAAGAATGGTGAAGCTGGAGCGCATGATAGCCAGGAATCTGACACGTTTGGAGACCCATCACCATGCTTAAGAGTGTCCAAACCAAACTGAGATTTCCATGAATTCTTCCTACAAGTGGAAATTCCTCAGATAGATTATTTGAATGGAATGCACACTCTCCCTGGAGGGATGTACTCTGCTTACCCAATTTCTGGATTTCTGGAAATTATTGGGCACAGGTTGGCAAGAGCCAAGGCTTGGGGACTCCAGAGTGTGCATTGAGGTACTGCTGGAATCTAACCGGCTAAAACTGTATAGCTTGCCATTGATAACTTGCCTGTCTGGCAAGCTTTCCCGCTGCTTGTCCAGCTAAGACCACGCTACCCAGTATGGCTTTAGCTTCCAGGGTTAACAGGAGATGAGTGGGATGACTCCCTGCCCCTAATGACTGGTCTGCCCTTCCAGTGACAGACACTACGAGGGGCATAAAATTACATAGTATAGCACAGAAACAGGCCATTCGGCCCAACTGGTCTATACCGGTATTTATCCTCCACATGAGCCTCCTCCTGCCCTTCCTCAACTAAGCCTTCAAGCATAACCTTCTATTCCTTTCTCCTTCATGTACTTATCTAGCTTCCCTTAAATGTCTATGTTATTTCCCTCAACTACTCCTTGTGATAGCAAGTTCCACATTTTCAGCACTTTCTGAGTGAAGACGTTTCTTCTGACTTCCCTATTTGATTTATTGATGACTATTTTATATTTATGACCCTGGTCTCCCCACAAGTGGAAACATCTTCTCTATGTCCACTAGAGACTTGGCCAATCCAAGTCATTAATGCTGATCGCAGGAGGGTCCCAGATCAGATACCTGACTTATCCCACTTAATACGTCCTCTCATATTGACCCAATAGCCCTAACAACTACACTCTAATAATAATCTTTGCATTTGATATAGCGCTTTTCACGTCTTCTCGATGTCTCAAAGAGCTTCACACATTATGCTGTGAAGTGAATTGACTGTATATTTGTGGGCGAAAAATTTGTGCCTCCCTTCCTTCATCCAATTTTGAATCCCTCTGCTACCTTTAGTATTCAGTGCCATCAGTTTATGAAGGAGTCTTTCATAGTTTGCTCCTCCCTAGCCCTTCTTTTAGAAGGTTTGGATGTCACCTTTTCTGGCTGTCATTTATTATTCTTATATGTTATGTTCCATTTTTATTATTATGATGACTTCATAATTTTTCCAATTATTGAGGTAAAGGTAATAGATCTGTAGTTGTCAGGTATGGTTGTCAACTTTGATGAACCACATTCACTTGCTCCTTGTCTGTGTTCGACCTCCTCATAATGCCTGTTAGCACTTCCCAAATCTCTTGCTTTCTCCCTCCAAGTACTCAGATACAGTTTATCTATCTAAGGGAATCCATTGGCTTTCAGCTCCTTGAGCCCATCCTGAACCTCAGCCTCACTTATGCCAAAGCACGGAGCTATGGGGTGATGTGTGTAAATATAGAGTCCGGGGAGGGGGAGGGGGGCAGCACTTCAGTTACTAGATTTTCTGCATGTTGAACAGTGAACAATAAATATACAAAAAATGTAATGTTGTTGTTGTTATTATCCGTTTTGTGATCACATTGTCAGGCTCCACTGGCTCCAAATCACCGAATGGATCGACTTCAAGGTCCTCTCACTCATTTTCAAATCACTTTGTTCCCTTGCACCTCCCTACCTATCTGACCTGCTTAGACCCTGTTCCACCACCCGCTGCCTCTGCTCGGCTGGCTCCAGCTTCCTATTTGTCCCTCGCCCCCTCTGTTCCACCAACGGTGGCTGTGTGTCCTCCCAACGTGAAAGGCATTATACAAATGTAAGTTTTGCTGTTGTTGCCTTCAGCCACTATGTCCTGAAAGTCTGGAACTCTCCAACAAAACCTCCGCCTTGCCCGCTCCTTCCCCACCTTCAAATCCTGCCTAAACAACAACAAATTACATTTGTATAGCGCCTTTCACGTCAGGAGGATGTCCCAAAGTGCTGGACAGTCAGGGATCTGCACCCGAGCTAGTGGTTGGGATCAGGAAGTGGAGAGGGTAGGGGTAGGAGTGTGACCTAAGGCAAGGTCGAAAAGAAGGGTCTTGAGATGGATCATGAAGGAGGCAAGGAGGGGATGAGGCGGAGGGACTGTGGAATGGACTTTCAGAAGGTGGGGACAGAGAAGCTGAAGGCCCACCTGCCAATGGTGGGTCGGGCAAGGCAGGTGACGTGAAGCAGGCCGGAACCCGCTGAATGGAGGGAGTGGACAGGTTAATAGGTGGTGAGGAGGTCATGGAGGTAGGGCGGAGCAAGGTGAGGACCAGGATCTTGAACTGTAACCTCAGAGTGATGGGGAGCCAGTGGAGCCAGGTGAGGATGGGAGTGATAGGGTTGTGGAACCTGGTGTGGGAGAGGACACGGGTTGCAGAATACTGGATGATCTGCAGCCTGTGGAGGAAGGATTTGGGGAGGCTGACAAGCAGGGGGCTTGCATAGTTAAGCCTGGATGTAATGAATTCATGTATGAGAGTCTCGGCGGCCTGCGGTGAGAGACAGCGATGATGACGGTCAATGTTTCAGAGATGGGGAAAGATGGAGCGAGACATGGTGCGGATGTGGGGGATGAAAACGTGTTGGGCTCAAAATGTGTTGCCAACTGCGCTTAACACAATTCCTGGTTCATTGACCTGACATGTTAACATTGATCACCCTGCCGCTACCACATGGGGATGTGAACGCTCAGGAACACGGAGAGGATGGAGCAACATATTGTAAGGATTATTGCTATGTGATATTCTGAAGAAAGAAACACTTAGTGCAGGTGACAAGAGTGGAGCCATTGTTAGTATTCTCATATTGTGTAGTTCATTGAGTAAATCCTGCACACATAGTTAAGTGATAGGAATATTGCACTGACCTTCCACACCGGCACATAGGCTGTACTCGGTTCAAGCATTTGATAGTCTAGTAATACGACTCCTGATAATAATCCCTCAAGAAAAAAAAACCCAATAATAATTTGGTCACTCAATCCACGACTGTTTGTGGGACACTGCTGTGCGCAATTGGCTGCCGCATTTCGCCCACAAATATAGTTAATTCACTTTACAGTATATTCTGTGAAGCGCTTTGAGACGTCTCGAAGAGGTGATAAGGAGCTATTATCAAGTGCAAGGATTATTATTATTATTATTATTATTATGAAGGGCAGTTGAGGGTCAAACAGGAACCCGAGGTTCCGTATTGGCTCCGTGAGGTGTAGAGCGCATCCATGAAGGGTGATGCTGGAGGGCCTCGGACTCGTGGAGTCCTGTAGCTCAGTGGTTAGAGCACTCGCTTTGCAAGCGAGAGCCCTGAGTTCAATTCCAGGTCAGGGTGAAACCTTGGGCAAGTTTCCTTACTCCACACAGAGCCTAATAATAATCCCTCCAAAAACCAAAAACAATAATAAATTGGTCACTTTCAATCTACGACTGTTTGTGGGACATTTCTGTGCGCAATTGGCTGCCGCGTTCGCCCACAAATATACGGTCAATTCACTTTACAGTATGTTCTGTGAAGCGCTTTGGGAAGTCCTCCCGACGTGAAAAGCGCTATATCAAATGCGAGGATTATTATTATTATTATTGTTGTTGACATTCGACTCTTTGCTCTCGTCCGGGACGTGATGTCCGACCTTCCTTTTTGATGGTTCTTGCGGTCGCCGCCCCTCTACCTCTGCCCTTGGCTCTTTGTCGGCCTCTGCCACCCCTGAGCCGCCCTGGGCCGCCTCCCCCCCCACGCGAATACAAGTTGTTGTTGTTGTTGTTGTCGTCCAAGACGGTGACGTCGCGCGCATCTCCTCCGCTCCCCACGCCTCAAAACAAGTGACGCGGCTGCAGCGCAGCTGACGTCACATCCGGGTATGCGCAGTGACCGCTCCCTGCCAAACTTGGCGCTCGCGGTCTGGCGGTTGGCGGTCCCCGCGCGATGTACCCAGATTGGGCGGGTTCGGGCGTGTTTCATTGCCTTGTGTGTGTGTGTGTGTGTGTGGTGGGGGGGGCTTTGACGGTGCCTGATTTACTTATTAAAAAAAACTCCACCTGCAAACCGCTTTCCCTCCCCCTTTGAAGACCTTTCCTCACACAGTTTGAAAAGGCGCTCACTTAAATCGGGCCCATCTGCTGCCCAAGATAGGAGGGGCAACCCGGCACATTGGGGCTACTTTTGGGGCTCGTGTTTGGGGGCCCTTTGGGCGGCTACAAAACTGTGTGTGTGAGTTGCTGGGCACGTGCCCGGGCGTCGCGGGCGACGGTTGGCGATCACGCGGTTGCGTGAGCTTTGAATCTCGGTCCTGCAGCAGCTCGTGAGCTCAGCTCCGCCGCTCCGCTCCGCTCGGCCTCCTGTGCGGCACTGAGCTCTTCTTCTTGTTGTTGTGCTCTCGGCGCTGCTCCGCTCGGATCTCCTGTCCGGCGGTGAGCGCTGCCGTCGGCCGCTCAACGTGTTCAAGAAGGCGAGTGCAGCAGCAGCGAGTGGATGACCGGCCTCCATCCTCCCGAGTTTCTCTGAGACAACGTCTTCTCGTTGCTCGAACCAGACGCTTTTTAAACAGCGACAGGGACCGACCGACCGACCGACAGGTGGGCTGTGACCGTCGCCGCCTGCGCCCGATGGTGTTTTAATTTACCATTTTTAATATTCCTCTAACATATCCGTATAAATAGTTTGTGGTCTCACAGCGCATCGTGATCTGTCATACGATATCGCCGGATGTGTGTGTGAGCGAGTTTCTGGCCCTATTTATAGATGTTAGTTTTCCGCTGTTGGTTTGGGGAATAACAATAATAATGATAATGTAAGTCTGGCATTGATATAGCGCCTTATCACATCGTTGAGATGTCTTGAAGCGCTTCACAGATTATACTGTGAAGTGAATTGACTGTGTTTTGTGGACGAAACGCGGCGGCCAATTGCGCACAGCAGTGTCCCACAAACAGTCTTAATACTCACTCAAAACATAATAATAATAAATAATATATCAATAATAAAATAATAATAATAAATTGTTATTTATTATTATGTTGTGAGGGATTATTAACCCCAGAAAGTGATCCTCCACTTGACCAACCACAGGGTTCCTACTTACCGCGAGGTAAGCAGAGGCGTGTTGGTGATGCAGAGTTTAATACTGCAGTAAACGTTTAGTTGTTTGTGGATTGAATCAGTCAGGTGCCAATGTGTAATTTATTTAAAGCAAATTCAGACCGGACAAGATGCCTTGTGTGCTTATTTTTTTTCTACCACCAATTACGTTTAGTTTTATAATTCTAGGCGAAGATGAGTGCCCAAGAGACAAATTGTTGCATCTTCTGGTTTATTTTATTGTAAAGTTACAGTCATATTGCCTAATTTGCATGTGATCATTACTTCCTCTGCCATCGTTCTCAGTTCCTTCCAGGTGAAAAATCAGTGGAGAAATTTCACTTAAAGATGCCCATATGATTCTTCTACTCCAACATTAAAAGTGATCGCTCTCATCCCAGATATGTTGGTTTGTGTTCCTGGTGCTCTGTTCGGGTCCTCAGCCTTCGACTTCTTGTGACCTCTTCACAATTCGTTTGACTTGTAACGTTTTTGTTTTGTTGTGGATGTTTTGTTCATGAAACTGTACATCATATGAACAGTGTATCAGGGACACAGACTGCTGCGGTGGATCTCAAGGACACATGTTACATTGCCATCCAATGGATGGATATAAAATAATAATAATAATCCTTGGATTTGATATAGCGCCTTATCACATCTTCATGACGTCTCAAAGCGCTTCACAGAACATAATGTAAAGTGAATTGACTATGTAGAGAAATGTAGAGATTTCTAAGTTGATCTCTTAATAATGAGTCTTGAGTCACAAATAATAATAATCCTTGCATTTGATATAGCGCTTTTCATGCCTTCTCGACGTCTCAAAGCGCTTCACAGAATAGACTGTAAAGTGAATTGACTGTATATTTGTGGGTGAAATGTAACTTCCTTTCAGGAACTAGATGTATGTTGCGTATACTCAGCCTCCTGAACATGCATTAATTGGAGAGACAGAAAGGAGAAGAAAGCAGAGGCAGCACATTATAAATGAATATACACAAGAATCATATCACAGTACTGGGCACAAAGAGCAATCCCATTTCCTTTGTTTACTTTGAGGCCAGTTTGATAGTGTCTATCTGCTGCACCACAAGACCCATCTCTAGGCAGGTCTGTCAGGGGCACAAACAGGATTTTCTGAATGGGAGAGGAAAGGAAAAAAAGTTACTTAAGATTACCAATAAGGCCACTATTACATAAAAGATCAGGCCTGCAATTCTCTGGCCTCAGCTTTAAGACCATTGACTTAAAATATAAAATCTTACAGCACAGAAGGAGGGCATTCAACCCATTGTGCCTCTTTGAAAGAGCTACCAACTAGTCCCACTCCCAGTTAGTTGTGTTAAGCTCTTGAAATGCCCTCTGACATGAAAATCACTGTATATATGTCAATTGTTGTGTAACAGAAAAAGGTAGAATTTGACATAAACATTAAAGGCCCACCCAATCCAGGTCACTCAAGTAAGGATCTTATTCCTAAGGCTGTGGTCCCTCAAGAAGCTTTATGATGTATGTTATTTTATGAATTCGTTGCTGAATTTCACATTGGTTTATAAATTTTCAAATGCCCAGTTCTGACTGATGATGACAAAACTGATCTTTTCCTTCTGTTTCAGATGCTAACATTTTTCACATTCGTTAAAGCACTTGTGGCTAGTTCTTGACTGACTGATTGAATGACTTTGTATTCCTCTTATTGTAGTTTTCAGAAATGCTTAAGTGGTTGCTTGGTGGAAGAGAAATCCAGGAGCCGGTGGAGGTATTTAATACATTTTATATTATATATATTTTTATTGTGTACTTGACTTTGCACCTTTAAACAACATTAGTGAACAATATACTGCAAATAACTCCTTTTCAGAAGTTTTTCCAGCTTTTTTAGATACCAATGGTGTCAGCCTTGCTAGCTGTCTCTTGAGTTAGAGGTTGTGAGTTCAAGCTACACGTTGGGACTTTGAGCTCACAGTTCAGGCTGACACTTCAGTGCAGTTCTGGGGGAGTGCTCCTTTTGGAGGGGATAGGGAAGAGGTAAGCGGGATCTCCTTGGAGTTGAACTGGCTCCAAGGTGACATGCTTGGCAACAGAATGTTGGAATCAGCCAGCCTTCTGTGGCAGTCTCAGTAGTCTCGCTCCTGATCCAGGCATGCAGAATTCCAGGGCACTGGCTCATCAGCAGGACCTGGAAGGGCAGACCAGTCACTAGGGAGTAGGGAGTCATTCTATTCAGCTTCTGTTAATTCTGCGAGCCTAAACCCTATGGGTATGGTGGTCCTAGCCGGAAAATCAGCGGGAAAGCTTGCCAGATAGTGATATCAATGGCAAGCTCTGCGGTTTTAACTGGTGAGACTCCAGCAGTACCCCCAATCAACTCCGGGATGCCCAAGCTTTCCGGAATTAGTAAGCAGGATGTGTCCCTCCAGGGAGAGAGTGTGCATTCCATTCCAACAATCTATCTGGAATTTCCATGTGCAGGTGGGATACATGGATTTCTCAGTTTTGTTTGTATATTCCTAAGCATGGTGATAGGTGATTTTCCAGCTAGGACCACCATACCCATAGGGTTTAGGTTTGCAGAGTTAACAGAAGCCTTTGGCTGACCAAAAAAAACACCCACCCCAGAATGATCCCCAGTCTTAGAAAAATGAACTAGAGCAACGATTAGACAAGCTAGGGCTCTTCAGTCATAAGAAAAGACGAATCAGAGGGGACCTCAGAGGTGTATAACATTTTAAATGAAAAAGTAAACTCAGATCAATATTTTAGAATGCATCAAGCCAAGATGACATAGGGCTAGAATTGTGAAGGGCAATTTCAGTACAGATGACAGGAGGTTTTTCTTAAACCGAGGGTAATCAATTACTTGAACAGATTGCCAAGAAAGGTGGTAAAGGCCCTTTAAAAAAACAACTTGATGCAGTGATTGGGGAGTGTTGATAGGATACATATTCTCAAAGGATGAGATCAAATGGGCCAAAGGGCCTTTTTCATCCAGACCAATCTTGTGTTCTTGGAAAGAAGGTTTTTCCCAGTGTCTAGGCAAAATCGTCCGAATAAAATTGGTGATTCACTGTAGGATTTGCCGTGCACAAATTGGCTGCCGCTTTTGTTTACAAAATATATAGTCGTTACACTTTACAGTATATCCCGTGAAGAATGTAAGGAATATGATTACCTTCATTTTCATTGTGATTAAACAAAATAGAAGCTATTTGGCCATAGGAAGTTATGATTATTTTAATTTCCAATTTTTCGTTAAGTTCTTTCATAGTTTTTCAGTTTAGTTTTTCACAAAATTAGTTTATTACTACTTTATATGCACTGTTTTGAATCTATGAATGCTAGTACTTCAAATATGCTAAGATATATTCTATATTTGTGTTATCTGTTTAATTCTTCAATGTATTATGAATATAAAGCAAATATTTTTCATTGATTTGATGCCGGTAATTCTTGTCTTTAAATGTTTTAGAAGTCATTGGTCCTGTGCATAGGAGACGAACAACCCCAAAATCCCTACACCGAGCTGCAAGTATTAAAGGGTCACAGTGATATTGTTCGCTTTGTAGCATGGATTGATGATTTCAGGTTAGATTTTTTTTCAATTTATTCAGTTCACAGTATTTAACAGTTCCAGATTTTAACATTACATAATCGCCCATCCCATTTTCAGGTCTCTACTGAATACCTTTTTTTTCGACCGTGCCTTTGTTCACACCCCCACCCCCCCGGCTCGGTTCTGGGATCCGTTACTGTAAAGTGCTCTCAGACGCCGTCCGGCGTGGAGGGCACTATATAAATCCAAGTTGTCATTGTTGTTGAATCTTCTCAGCTCTGTGAGGGACAACAATTGATGTAGGGAAATGATTCTTAAATTTTCCGTGCAGCCAGCTGGTTCACTCCCTGTGCGCTCCCACATGCTCAGTTTATGATCTTCACTGTTTTGATTATTTGGTGTGCAAGATGAAAATATGCGAAATTGAGGCATTTTGAAAGACTATTAAGCTGATTATTTTTTTAAAACCACTGTGTCTATTACTAGAATATTGTGCAAGACAGACAAGCAGTTGTAGCTTTAAGATTTTTTGCTCGCAAATTTAGAGAAAATTGTTTTGGCAACTAACATTGAAGACCTTATCCAGTGATAAGTTTTTTTAAAAAAAATGATTTTCCTGACTTTTTCCATGAACATGCATCTTCACTATAGCTTTCAGTGAGACGAGTTTCACGCATGGAGTCCTTCAATGATCTTGTTTATAGAGTGCTTTGCAGATGGCTTCTGTTGTCCTCTCAGGCCTTAGCCATAGTCAGCAAGCGGAACAGTTTCACAGATTGGTTCTGGAGATGGGAAATTGATCCCATCTCAGCCTTCATGACAGCTACTCTTTTCTTCTTCCTATACCTGTTTTTGGACATGAAGTCAGGGAGTGGGAAGGTGAAAGGTCATTGAGCAAAACTAAGCTTGAGCAGAAGATTGCTGAAAGTCACGCTTTCATGAAATGTTTGTACGACTACAGTCTTTGCAAGTCCATTAACACAAAGAGACGTTCCAAACGTATTTCTTTAGTTAGCTGCCCTGCTTTAGATGAGTACAAAATGAACATTTGGATTATACTATTGGTCATAACTAGAGAAGAATTTAACAGATCTTGATCTTCTGTCAGTTCTAAGATTTATTTTGGTTAGTCGGGTGTCTGACACATGTGGAACCCCATCATCTTGTTTAAGTGTATCCAAACCAAAGTGAAAATTCCTTACATCCCACCTGCACATGGAAATTTCAGAGATAGATTGTTGGAATGGAATGCCCACTCTCTCCCTGGAGGGATGCATTCTGCTTACCTAATTCTGGGAAGTATTAGGTGCAGGTTAGCAAGAGCCAAGGCTTGGAAACCCCAGAATGTGCGCTGGGGTACTGCTGGAGTCTAATCAGCTAAAACCGGATAGCTGCTGCTGGTTCAGCGAGGACCATCCAACCTGTTAGGGATTTGGCTTGCAGGGTTAACAGGATCTGAATGGGATGATTTCTTGCCCTAGAGACTGGTCTGCCCTTCCAAGTACTGCTGATGAACCAGTTATAAGATATGATGATACTTGTTACTCTTTATAAGATTTGAGAATTTGCAGGCTTATGTTAAAATATTACTGCCTCGTTCAATTATGTTAATGGTTCTGGTGTTGTCATCAGTAAATTGGGCAAAATTGGGATTTAATTAGTAACGATATTCTAATAAAATTCATTATTAAGAAATCCATGTGGGAACCTGTTCCTGTAACCAGAAGTACATTACATCAGCTTCTGTTCTGGAGTTACTGTAGATTGTGTCAGAGCAGAATTCCTGTAAGTTTATATACCATTTTTCTCTTTTACATTTAAGTGGGAACTGATAATCATTGTCCACTCAACAATCTGGAAAAGAACCTTTTTAGAGAGGCAATTTTATACTTTTTTGTTTTCTTTGGTAGTCTCCTAGTACTCTAAAGGCATTTGCTGCATTGTTCTAGTCAGCTTGGTATCCATTTCCTCACTGAATTGTAGTTTCAACCCTCACTCCAACATGCTTCATTGGATGCCAACCAAACAGCATGGTGAAATGTACATCCAATTTGATATAATGTTGCTTCCTCAAAACAACCTTTCTAGTGTTGCCAAATAGCTCTGTGTGGTTCTGCTTCTGCTGTAATTCTGCTTATAGAGCAGCAACTTAGAAAAGTTATACAAGGTGACCAAAAAGTTGTAATACCATGACAATGCCTAATAAGTCTTAAATAATTTTTTTTTAGATAATAGGATAGATATCACAACTTTTAGGTCACCCTGTATGACCTTTCTATTGATTTCAAGGATGTTGTATAAATGTTTTCGCTTACAGCAAGTGCACATATAAACATATAAAAGAAAAATGTGTTTCAAAAATGTTATTAATAAAAATAATAGATGACAAACAATAGCAACCAAACAAACCAAAGATTTTTCAATTTCTGTTTTTGAATGTCTGCATTTAGTTCATGGTGAGTAAAATTATGCAATTTAACTTCATACAGGTTTGTCTCTGCAGGAGATGATGGCGTTGTATTTGTTTGGAATGTGCAGGTTAGTATGTATCTTGACTTGTTTTGTTACAAAGTAAACCCAAAAAGCCTTGTTTTTAACTTTGCCTAGTCTTTGTTACATACACTTTTAGATTTTTTAAGAAAACAAATTAAAATCTTCATTCCAACTTGTGTGTATAATGAAAACTTTTCTTGTAAACTGTGCCTTAGCTCCAATTTGTAAAAAAATGTTTTCAAGTGGGATGGTGTTTGCCGATTACAGTGCAGGCAGACAGCCAGAAGGTGGTGCATTCACCCATTATTTGTCGTATGGTCTAAATTGTGTGACACAGATTTGCTTCATTTCACTCAAAGCATTTTCAGAATAGGAGGTATATTTTCTTTTAATCTGCAATTTTTTTTGCTTAGTAGACCTTTGATAAATTTGATCACCATTGTTGCTTGTGATGGAACTGTTTATAATTTATTCATTGTGTTATTTTTTTCTTTTGCTAATTTAAATTATTTTTATACATTTTGGAGTATGTTTCCACTTGCTCTAGTCTGCCTTTTTATAACTTATTCATGTGATCATTATTCATGTATGAGAGTTCAGAAGGCTATTCAACTGTATGAGTGAGGTGGCACGAGGCAACCAAACTAGATTCCATTGCCATCTAATGAGCCCATATCCATTCTTCAGCAGTGGTTACTGGATAGTGATCAGGAGTAGAAAATGCTGTTTTTTTTCCCCATTGTCGTTTGATTGAACTCATTTCTGGCACCCAAATTCAGTTTGGGTATCTTCTCAATTTTTATGGTTAATTGAATAGACTCCCTGAACCATCAGGGCAATACAGTGTATCATACATCTGTAGGTATGAGTTTGCAGCAAATTGATTTTTATGCTGTGAAAATGCATGTTGTTGTGTATAGTTTTTCACATTTCGCAAGCATTTTATGTTCAGTATTAATTGATAAGAATAAATCTATTTTAAAATGTTTGAAATTTACTGATTTATTATATTTTAAATTAAGGTTGCATTTTATGTCTACAGAATGGAGAGCGACTTCACGAGCTGCGAGGCCATTCCAGACCAATCACAGCAATTGCTGTCTTTCCATTGATGTATAGCTCACAGCCGGAAAGTCATCTTCTTCTTACTGCCTCTTCTGATAAGAATATCATTGTATCCTGACGATACCTGGAATGCGTGCATCTGTCCTCGGAAACCAGGAAAACAGCAGCTCATCCCATTGAGCCTGTTTCACCAGTTTATGAGATCCTGTCAAATCTTTTAATCCCAATGCCCTGCCCTTTCACCATACTCCTTTATTCCTCTGCTACCCAAGTATCTATTTGCCCAAGTATCTATCTCTTTTAAATTCCTGACGAACTACATTGTTAATTCAATTTATCTGAGAATTTCTTCATGCTTCCTCATTCTAGACTCAGCTGCTTAACAAAACTGAAAAGCAACATTTACCTCTCGTCTGCTTTGGACAAACTAGTAGCTAATTATGACTAGTTGGCAAACTGTCCTTCTGCCTGAATATAGTGGAACCCTGTTATTACACAGGTTCACTTATAGCACAATTGGATGGGGACTTCGATATTTAGTTACCTTAAAAAATCCAAAATGTGTGTGCCGATTACATTAGTGATTCAATACTCTCGCCTGTATACAGGAAGCTAAAATAGTGAATAGGTTATACACTTGTGCAGTGTGCAGGAAGTTACCTCAGTGGCGACCGAATGACAGGTATCAGCTGTTTGGTGTTCCACATACTAAAAATGGCTTTGGGATTATCAGATTGCTATAAACATTGCTTTTTTTGCATAAGAACTGATGTCATCAGAGTAATTTCACAACACATTTTAATCAGGTTCCAAAACGTATTTAGGAATACTGCAATATTTCTCTCTAGATATGTTTGCTAATATTTCTGATAGTTACAAATTAATAATTTCCGGGCTATATTTTCTCCCCCTTCTGTTCAGTTTTCCTTTACTTATACAAGTAGATGTGGGATCTGGACAGTGGCAGTCAAATCCATTTACTAATGGAAATTCCGTCATCTGTTAAGGTAAGACAAAGTGTATGGGATTTGCGTTTGAGAGAACATTGAGGAAAAACCATTCAGCCCAATAAATCTGGTAATTCCACAGATCATGTGTAATCTACACCATGTACTAAACAGTCACTCAATGTCTTTGAGGTAATTGTGTAAATAATACTTTTAAGGTTAATGGCAACTTCTCCATTATTCAAGCCATAGCATATTGATAGTGGTTCCCAATCACCTGAACACTCATTTGGTTCCCGTCTCTGAAAGGATCAATTTCAATATCCTTACCGTCACCTACATGGAACCTCTAATGCCTTAGCACATCCTTCCCTCTCTGACTTGCTTGTACACCATTGTGAGTAGACATGAGTCTAATGTGTGTTCATGGTCGCTCTGCACCACCATCAGTTGGTATGTCTTTGGTCACTACATCCCTGACCTCTGGAACTCCCTGTCTCAATCATTCCGCCTCGCCATTTCTTTATCTTTAAATCTGCCTTAAGACTTACCTCTTTGAACGTACCTATGGTCAACTTCCCCTTTCCTTCGCTCAGTATCCAGCCCTGCCATTGTAGACTGGCTGCTGCATTCATCCACAAAACCCACTCCACTTTTGTGTGTTCTGTGAAGTACTTTGGGGCATTCTCCCGATGTGAAAGATGCCATAACAAATATAGGGATTAACATTATTTTGTGCAGTGCTCCAAGATGCTGTATAAATTTTGCCCAACATTCTAATGTTTATCCATTAACTTGATATAATATAGAATAAGCATTAAGCAACAGTATTATTGAAGTTGAGCCAGCATTATGTGTTCATTTGCAGTGTCTGATGATTATAGAAAGACTTGATATATGGCTGTCTGGAGGGAATGAAGTATGCATTTGGAACAAGGATGCAGAATTACTCCATAAAACTGTGTGTTTTAAAGATGCAGGTATCATACAGTGCTTATTTCTTCTGTTTGCTGTTTTCTTGTTCTATAGTAAGTTGTAGTAAATGTATTTTGTGCCCAAGGAAATAGATGTGTATTGTGCTAAATGTGTACTGAGCCTGACGTGTACATCTAGATCTGCTCAATGCCCAGCAGTGACAGTGAGTGAACATAACATGAATGAATCCAACATTTGACTCGGATTCTAAAGTCCGAAACATAAGGAATGGTTTCAGAAACTTCAAAAAAGTAGTCAAAGAAAGTTATTGCGTTTATTTTCCAAAATCACTAGCCAATAATTTTACCAGAGATGAGATAATATAGTTATGATGAAAAACTGTTTTGAAAAAGCCTGCGTTCCCTGCAACAGAGAAGGTTAAAAAGAGATCTAATAGAAGAACAGCTTACCAGACTACGGGTAGCTGAAGTTTAAAAATAAATAAATTCACAGGACAAAAATTCAGCCCAACTCTCCTAGTGCAGTCTTGTGTTTCTTGCCGGCCTTCACGTTGGCCAGGGATACCGACTTTGACTCTGAATGTTTGATTCTGGGTACTGCTCAGTTCTAGCATTCACCAGCATTGTAATTGCACTTAGCTGGCTCCCCGGACATGAAAATTAGCCCCCCCCCCCGCCCAATTAGTTTGGCGAGCAGGGGTTTAAATATTCAAAATTATGAAAGGGTAAAAAGCAATGAATTGCTTCTTTACAGGTTGTGGAACACTTCTGTCCTCATATTGGCTGCTACTTTAGCCGACAGACTACACTTTACAGTGGGTCTTATCACATGTTTTGAGATATCTTCATTACGTGATAAGCTGCTATATCAAATGCAAGGATTATTATAATAAATATTATCTTTTTGAGACCATTGGCATAATTTGGCCTTGTTCAAAATGTATCTTAAAGAAATGTTATTAGTTACCATTGAATCACTCGAAGTTCAAAAATCTGATTGGTATTTTGTAGCATTCTTAATGGTAGTTTTTAAATGTTTTTAATATTTTTATCTACAGATGTTAGTTCAATGATAGAACTACCAAAAAACGGCATTGCTGCAGCAGTTAGAAAGGAGCTGGGTAAGAAGTTTCTTCAAGCTCATTAGGTGCACAAAACGATTGAGAACATTTAAAACCCTTTACCTGCTTAGTGTTTTGATAGTTCTTTATATTCCACCTAAGTGGATATTGTGTTGATACACAAATCAAATTTGTTGTTAGTGTGTTATCTAAATACAGAACAAAATTTGACTGAAACATTTACTAACATACAAGTGTTTTACCAAATGCTGCATTCTTGCTGTCAGTTATTTTTAAGCTGGTAGCACCATCCCAGGAATCTGAAACTTGGGAAATTATCGAGATGAGACGACTGTCAAACCATGAAGATGATATTCGTGCCCTGATCAAGGTTAATGGTAGGATCCTTTGTTAGACATCATGGCTTTTTGCATTCAACTGCGAAAATATGGCATTTGACCTAGTGAATGAAATCTGACCGTTTGATTTGCTTAAATAAAATTATTATGTTTTTTAAAAAAACTCAAGTTAAAGATGGATCATATCAGAATAAGAAACATCCAAATGAGTCCACCTGGGTATGTCCAGTGTTCTAACAGGGCAATCCTTCTCTCGTGGTTAAAGACATAACCTACAAATAAAAACTCCAATTCCTCTCACTCCAAATTGAGATGAATGTACCTTGAACATAATATATTTTTAGGAAGTTTAGGGAATGAGCCTTTGTATTCTTCCATTCAGAATAGATATGATAGATATGCTACAAAAATTACTACTTTAAACTCCAAATTTTGGGCTTCCCATCTTAAACAACAAATTCTGCCATCATTCCAGTGGTTCCTTTATGCAGATGGTTGTTGAAACTCAACTTCACAAGTTTTTATTGTAAGTGATTTGTGTGATCTTGCTCTATGGAATTATCTTAATTTCTCAGCTAACTGATTTGTGAATTCCATGTGCATGATAATGGAAAACTGAGTTTGATTGTGTCTTATGGCAACAATTTGGAAAATTCTGCAGATTCATAATATTAACCTAATTTCAGCAATGTTTTGAGGAAATAAGTGGATACTTATTTCATGAATGAAATGTCTTTTGGCCATTTCAATTATTTCAGTTGCTCCTGCAACAGTAATATTTTTATTGAGGTTTCCACAATGATGGCAGTAGCTAGCCCAAGGAATTGACTAATACCATCCTGAGTCAAATCTGACATTTAAAGTGTTAGTAAGCACGCCTTTTGTCTTATTTGGTAATATTATTGATTATAGCAATCCAACAACAACAACAAGATTACATTTGTAGAGCGCCTTTCACGTCAGGAGGACGTCCCAAGGCGCTGGACAGTGTACAGCATTTCAGACCCGAGCAGGGGTCGGGTGGGGGGAGAAGGGAGGGGAGGGGAAGGGGGGTGACCGGTGGCATGATCGAAGAGGAGGGTCATGAGGCGGGACTTGCAGAAGGCTAAGGAGGGGGCGAGGCGGAGTGATTGGGGCATGGAATTCCAGAGGTTGGGGGCAGAGTGGCTGAAGGCTCTCCCGCCAATGGTGGGGCGGAGGTGGGTTGGGGGACGTGGAGCATGCCGGAGGAGGCTGAGTGGAGGGGATTGATAGGGGGTTAGGAGGTCCCAGAGGTAGGGTGGGGCGAGGCCGTGAAGGGCTTTGTATGTGAGGACCAGGATCTTGAACTGGATCCTCTGAAGGATAGGGAGCCAATGGAGTCGGGTGAGAATGGTGGAGATGGGGTCACGGAGTTTGGTGCAATCCAGAACATTATTGTACCATTTTATGTGGCCAAATGGATCTGCAGTAGCTAAAATGCATTGTTGCTTCATTTTCTACATTGGGAGGTGCTGTAATTTTGCTGCATTAATTCACAGAATTTTTGTACTAATAGACCGTACCTTTGCAAGTGGATCACATGTGGGTGAATTAATAATTTGGGATGCTCTGGAGTGGACAGTTCAAGCAACTGAATCCCAGTTCTGGAATACAGCTCCTCAACGTGACAAACAGGCTGAGATAAAAATATCAAAGTCCCCAAATCAGCATGAAATCTGCATCAATCATCTGATTTCAGATAAGGAGGTAAAACATAGGAATCAATTTTTCTTTTGCTTCTTCGACTTTAACTCTTTAAAGATTGTTGCAGACATTTCCTCCAAAATGACAGTTAAAATAATTTAATATTCAGAAAAGATTACAATGATTCTATAATTTTTTGATCTATTATACCAATGAACATTAAACAGAAAAGGGGCAGCACACTAGTTAAAGTGACTTACATCTGTTATGCATCTCACTTGGTGTTCAACATTGAAAAAAATATTGTCTAGGCATCCTTATCTTTTTTTCTAGTTTGGTGGTTAAAAGATAGTGAGAAGGGCAAAAAAGGTAGAAATCGAAGCTAGCCTCAAGTAAGACAAGCTTGTGAGATCCCCCTTTGTTCCACAATGATTACAGTTTGTGCTTTTGTTATAAAAAGAGAAAATCGGATCGACAATGAAAGCCACATAGTGTTGATGTTTTGATATATAACATAGCCCTACAATAAATAATTTACTTAACAACAACAAGATTCCATTTATAGAGCGCCTTTCACGTTGGTAGGACGTCCCAAGGCGCTGTACAGTTGGGTCAGGACCCGAGCATTGGGGGAAATGGTCAGGGTGAGGGGAGGGAAGGGATGGAGCGAGGAGTGGGTAGAGAGTCGAGAGGGGAGCTGAAGGCACGGTCAAAGAGAAAGTTCTTGAGACCGGCCTTGAAGGAGGAAAGGGAGGCGGCGGCGAAGGCACTGGGGGATAGAGTTCCAGAGCCTCGGGGCTGAGAGGCTGAGGCCCGGCCACCGATGGTAGGGCGGTTGGGGCGGGGGATGTGGAGCAGACCGGAGCTAGAGGAACGGAGGGTACGGGCAGGTAAGCAGGGGGATAGTAGGTCAGAGAGGTAGGAAACTGCTGTAGCTGGATTCTCACTTTTAATATCTGTCTTTTCCTACAGAATATTTTTGCTGCAATTGGGACTGGAATTTATGTCTATAACCTTCAGACAAGAACAGTGATTGCATATCAGCAAATGGCTCACGATTCACGTGTGTTGCACATTGCAAAATTAGCAAACAAGTATGGAACTTGATTGAATATTATGGTATAAAGCAGTGCGCTTGTCGGTGATGTTTCTAAAGTCCAAAAGGCAGAAAAATGGGGTGAATTAATCATTCTTGTTATTTTCATTTTTTTAAATTTGACATATTCATTTACAATTCTTTTATGGCCTCAGTCCCAACATCAATGGGTTGGCTTTCAGACACTTTGTACCACCCTCTGAAATGCTCCCCCAAATCCTATTGCCTCACCCCTTCCCTTTCTGCCTTCAAATCCCAACTGAAGATCTGCCTCTTTAACTGTGTTTCCAAACACTACCCCAGCTCTGCTTCTGAACCACTTTGAGACATTCTCCTTATTTGAAAGGTGCTCTAGTGTAAATTGATGTTCTTTTAAGATATTTTTCAGTATATTAAGATTAATTTTATAGAATTACAATACAGAGCGAAACAATAGGCAAGTTTCCTTACTCCACACACACACACCTCTGTTTACCTAGCAGAAGGTGGGAACTTGGTTGTTAGTCAATTGGCAGATCATTTTCCGGGGGTAACAATCTTTTTTTTAAAAAAATAATAATTTGATTACTCAATCCACGGCTGTTTGTGGGACACTGCTATGTGCAATTGGCTGCTGCGTTTCGTCCACAAATTACAGACACTAAACTTTACAAAACGTCTCGAAGATGTGATAAGGCACTATATCAAATGCAAGGATTATTATTATTATATTCAATATTGACCATATTGTGTATTGCACGAGATACAATGATTAACATTTTTATATATGTTGAGTCTAATTATAAAATCATTCTCCATTTTGTTCTGAGTGATTGCAACTGTTTGGTTCATGGCACTCTGAAAATAATGTCCACGTTCTGTATTCTACAGTCAGTTGGTCTCTTGTTCTGAGGATGGTAGTGTTCGCCTCTGGGAGTTGCAGGAACTTCCTCCAGCTGAGCCTGTCACATCAGGTTAGTGCAACTTTACATCAGTGCCTTGGGACGTCCTCCTGACCTGAAAGGCTCTATACAACCATAATTTTGTATTGTATTAATATCTTTAGGTAAATTGTAGATTTTTATAACATTGGATGCAATTTGTCTTAATTGTTTCTAGTTTTTTTGTATAAAAGAAAAAAATAGATTAAGAGTAATTGGATTGTAGTACTGGAAGTTTGGAAGGATACATTGGCTTTGCAGGGAGTGCATTATCGGTTTATGAGAATAATGTCAGTCAGGGGGGCGGGCAGGGTAAACTTTAAAGAAAAGCTGGATAGGTTGATAATATATATTCTGCGGCTGAAAAGTGATATTATCAAAGTATTTAGATTTATGAAAGGGCTAAAACAAATAACCAATGAGTGACTTTTGGATCCATGCGTTACAAAAGGACATGACCTTAAAATTAGGATCTAAATGAGGAAGAATTTCTTCCTGCCTGAATAATAACAAGCTGGAATGCATGCCACAAAAGCCGGCGATGTAAAGCTAAATATTATCAAGGGCTTAGCAGAGAGATGGATACATATTGGGGAGTAAAAATATTAAGGAAAATGTCAGAAAGGAGATTCTGTTAGGTTGTAGGGAATGACTTGGAAAGAACTGAGCTTGATGAACCGAATGGTTTTTCTTGTTTTTAATTTCCTTTTTTGTAAATAAAAATAGTGTTGAATATGGTCATTGTTTATGCGAAAGCTACTTTTAAAAAGTAGGAAGGATTACAAACAGCAGTGAATAGATTGTGTGTTTTCTTTTAACTCAAAACTTTGTGCTACAGTTCGAATGTGAATTTGTGTTTTGAAGTAATGTAAAATAACACTGATAGTTTTGGAGTCCTGTAGCTCAGTGGTTAGAGCAATCGTCTCACAAGTGAGAGACCTAGGTTTGATTCCCGGCAGGGTGAAACCATGGGCATCTCTCACTGTCATTCTGTGACCTTACAATAATAATAATAATAATTCTTTACATTTGGTCTAGTGCCTTTCGAGTCCTACTTAACCAACCGCCTCCATTTCATCTCAGCAAATGGTTTCTCCTCCCGCCCAGTCACCTGCGGGGTACCCCAGGGCTCCATCCTTGGCCCTCTTTTCCTTATCTGTATGCTCCCATTGGGCGATGTTATCTGCAGACACCAGGTAAACTGTATCCAAGTATAAGGTGACAAACACAAGCACAAGGCTTTTGGCTGCATTTGGGGTAAGGTATGGTCGGTGGAGGACGATGTGCCGTCACCTGCGGGGTACCCCAGGGCTCCATCCTTGGCCCTCTTTTCCTTATCTGTATGCTCCCATTGGGCGATGTTATCTGCAGACACCAGGTAAACTATGCGGATGAAACACAACTCTACTTTGCCTCCTCCAGTACCAACTCCAGGTTCACTGATGTTCTATCAGCTTGTCTGGGAGACATCAAGGCCTGGATGAGTGTAAACTTCCTGCAGCTGAATATGGGCAAGACGGAAGCCATACATTTTGACTCCACTCAACGTCTTCACTCCTGCAGATCTAAACTCCTCATCCTCCCTGGACTCTCCCTCATACTCACCGAACCAGTGTGCAACCTAGGGGTCCGGTTCGACCCCCAACTGTCCTTCCTCCCCCACCTCCGGTGCCTGAACAGGACCACTTTCTTCCACCTACGGCACATTGTCTTCCACCGATCATACCTTACCCCAAATGCAGCCAAAAGCCTTGTGCTTGTGTTTGTCACCTCATACTTGGATTACTCCAATGCACTTCTCGCTGGTCTCCCCAGTTCCACCATTCACAAGATCCAGCTCATTCAAAACTCTGCCGCCCACATACTGACCCAAACCAAACTCTACCCACATCTCACCAATTCTGACCAGGCTCCGCTGGCTCCCCATCACTGAACGGATTGACTTCAAGATCCTCACTCTCGTGTTCAAATCCATTCACTCCCTTGCACCTCTCTTGACCTCTTCACTCCCCAATCCACCACCCAGCTCAACTGGCACCGGCCTCCTGCTCGACCCTTGCACACTCCGCCCCACCATTGGAAGTCGTGCTTTCAGCTACTACGCGCCAAAACTCTGGAACACTCCTTCAATCCCTTCACCTTTCCCCTCTCTCCCTTCTTTCAAGTCTCGCCTGAAGACTTTCCTGTTCGACTGCTTAGAGCCACCTCCCCACCCACCTCCCCCAGCTCGGAGTCAGGCTCTGCCATTGTTAAATGCTCAACGACACTACCCTCGTGGAGGGCACTATATAAGTACAAGTTGTTTTTTTTTTGGAAGGACGTCCCAAAGTGCTTCACAGGATATATTGTAGAGTGACTTTGTGTTTTATGGGTGGATGTGGCAGCCAATAGCCATGAAGTAAATTAAGTAAATGACCAATTTTATTTGCTGTATTAGTCAGGACACTGGGAGAAATTCTTCTCTTTTCAAATAATGCCATGAAATCTTGTGGAAACTTGTGTTCCTGTACAGATGTTTCTCCTTTGCCTAGGTCTCCCCAGTTTTTGAGGAAAACAAAGCAAACACATTTACTGTAATTCTGATAATTATCCTTAGAAGCAGAGTTATTCAGAATCATTGAATAAAGTAATGTTTGACATGACTCCTTCCATGCAGGAAAGCTCACTCACGAATGTCAATATGAATTTCCAATGAAATTCTCTAAAACCCAGCCAGTTTTCTGTTGAATAGCCTGGCTACAGAGAAGAGAATGTTAGGCTAAACAAAGCCAAGCCATCTGCAGATAAAGCTCATAATATTAGCTGGAAAAGGTTTGCCCATCTCATGGTGCATCTCACATTCACTTTATCCAGCTCTGTGGTATTTTATCTGATTTTGAATAAGCTATATTCATATACAGCAGCTGTTTCAGTATTGCATGATTTTTCTTCATTTCCTTGGAGGTCATTCTCCAATTTCATGCTTCATGAAATTGATCTGTAAACTTAATTGTTTTAGATCTCCTCTTCCTTGGGATCTAACATTCAAATTGTTTCACAATTTCAGATATTTGCCTTTTGAGTTTCTTAATTCCTGTGACCTTAAAATCGTTTCTAAGAAGATTTTTCTTATTACAAAATATTCATCCCAGAGTCTGAGATGGCCACCTTGCCCAGAGGATGAGCAGTAATCTGATTGGGGTGCTTAAGGTAGTAAAGAGAATTGACAGTGGATAAGGAAAGACTCTTTCCTATGGTTGCAGAATTTGGACCAAGAGACCATAATAATCACTCAGAACATATACAGTCAATTCACTTTGCAGTGTATCCTGCGAAGTACTTTTCAACGAAGTGATACGGCACTATATAAAATGCAGTTATTATTATAATCTAAAAATGTGAGCTAGTCAGTGAAATCATTATTATTATTATATCATTATTATCAAGAGACATTTCTTTACTCAGAGTTTGGGGGTTATGGAATTCACTTCTTCAAAGGACTGCTAATGCAGAGTTGGTAATGTTTCAGAGGGAAGTAGGTAAATAGCTGGTAAAGGGTATCAGGGATAATGGAGAAAAGGAAGACAAATGGGCTTGGTTTACACGATTAAGCCATGATCTAAGTGTATGGTGAAGCAGGATTGACAGGCTGAATGGCATATTCCTGAATAACTACATCAGAAAGTAGTCATCCTTTTCTATTTACAATTTCACTAATGTGAGCTAGATGCTCATGGAGGTTTAGCCCCTTTACAGACCAATTTCGGTGCCTCCTTCACATCTTTGGCTGCAATATTCGTATGGTTAATGGATTGCATTCCCCACTTTTATCATCTTGCCATAAGCAAACTTACAGGTTCAGGAAAGAGATGCCCGTAAAATATGCAATCTATTCACTTCACATTATATTCTGTGAAGTGTTTTGAGACATCTTGAAGACGTGATAAGATGTATCAAATGCAAGGATTATTATTTGTTATAGACATTCTCTGCTCTACTGCATGAGCATCCTTGAACTAAGTGTCCATTGAAAGATCTACCAAGGACGGAGGCTAGTGCAATCCTTATAGCATCAGTACAAGCAGTACTGACTGTTCGGACTCCAGAAGTATGAATGAGATTTATTTTGGTACGCCTTCTGTGGTGTTGCACTCTGTGCTTCCCAGCAAGGATTTTACCCCCCCACTCTCCCTTAATTTCACCATTTGCTTATTCTGCAGCAGTGTTTTACTGAGAATGACAATAGCAAGATTTATCTTACAAATTAATTCTTGGAGTATTACATAGCCCATGTACTTTCCCACTTGTACATTTTTTCAGGCACTTGCCACGAACCACAAAACCGTGTGAGAATGGGGCAAGCAGCAACTGTTTATCTTAAACTGGCATCCTAATTCTGGTTAAACTTTCGAATTAACATTTTAGCTAATTGTTCTCTTACTCTGATTGCAGGTTTGTTCATGAGAAATGTTCAGTGCTTATAATGAGCTCATTGATTTTTAAAAAAATATTAGCATCAAGTAATGACTTTATGGGTACATGTGTATATTTGTTTTTAGGACTGTTCAGTATGTTGGGGATTGGCAGAACAAATAAACAGCAAAGCCAGATGGCAAAACACAAGCTGGAATGTTCTGTGTTGAAAACACTGGAGCTAATTGGTGATCTGATTGGTCATTCAGGTGCAGTGAGGGTGAGTAATAATGCAGTGTGTGGGCATTATTCTTTTGTAATACGTTATTACCTATGCTGTGTCTTTAGAGAATTTGGTGTGCCAGTTGTAACACATCTTGAACAAAGTAATTATGGTGATTTGCATAGTTAAATTAGAATGTCAACCTCATTACAGTACAATTGATGTAGGAGTAATGTGTTCTCTACAGAACAATAATAAGTTTTTTTTATTTTAAGTTTAAATGGGTCTGTATTTTATTGTAAATATAATAGCTTTTATAGTTGTGATGGGATCGATAACTTAACTGGGAAAGCATGTTGTCATTGTAGTTAATGTGCATGTGTGTGTATGTCAATAGGACCAGTCATCCTAGGCAGAGTTTCAGGTATCATTATTCAGTCGGTTTCCAGCACATTTATGGAGAGGCTTGTTCTCTATTATGAGCCTCAGGTAAGCAATGTACCATGTTGTACCAAATGCTCTAAATATCAGGATCTTCAAGAACTCGTATTCGAATCCATTCACTCCCTGGCACCTCCCTACCTCTCCGACCTCCTCATTCCCCAATCCATCATCCAGCGCCTCCGCTCGACAGACACAGGCCTCCTGCTCGTCCCTCACGCCCTCCGCCCCACAATCGGAGGTTGCACTTTCAGCCACTATGCCCCAAATCTCTGGAACACTCCCTCAATCCCTCTTTCAAGTCCCACCTGAAAACTTTCCTCTTTGACCGTGCTTATAGGCACCTCCCCACTCCCACCGGGTCGAAGTCAGGCTCCGCCACTGTTAAGTCCTCGTGAGATGCTACCCTGCATGGAGGGCGCTATATAAGTGCAAGTTGTTGTTGTAAATATGCTGAAATCTACTTGTGCGACTGTTTAAAACTCCACTGGCCATATCCTCTCCTGCACCAAACTCCATACCTCATCACTCCAGGCCTTGCCAGGCTCCACTGGTGCAGAATTGACAGATTCCAAGATTCTCACATTCACCTACAAATCACTTCATGCCCTGGCAACTCCCTTCCTCTCTGACCTGCTCACATGCCACTCACAGCCCAATGCTTTGCTAGCTTGGGCATTCTGCACATCTCTTGACTATTCGCTTCACTATCGGCAGCTATGCTTTCAACCACTTCACCCTGATACTCTGGAACTTTCTGCCTCGATCACTCTGCCTTGCCCCCTCTTCGCTCATCTTCAGATCACACCTAAAGACTTTCCTCTTTCAACTATGCCTACAGTCACCTCCCCATTCTCCACAGCTTGGGGGCCAAACTAAGCCATTGTTAAATGCTCCGAGATGTTGCCCCACGTGAAGGCTGCTATATAAATGCAATTTTTTAGAAATGCATTAAATAAAAATGTTTGGCAGTGGATTGTTGTTGGGAGTATTTGTTCCATGAAATTTCAATACATTTCTGTTCATTTTCAGATGTTTCTATACTTTGAAGACCATGGAATGGTAACATGTTCCACTGACCATCTGATTATTTTGTGGAAGGATGGAGAGAGGGAATCACGGTTGCGAAGCAAGAAATTATTGCAAATATTAGAACAGGATGAACAATATGAACCTTAATTTGGGGGGTAATTGTACAGGCTATAAAATGAAAGTTGCATGGCACCCTAAAACACTGAATGAAAAGCGCTGCAGGAAATGTTACATGATGTCTCTGTTTAAAAGAAGTTTCCTTTTTTAAAAAGGGGTCTTACCAACAGTGTGTTTAAAAAGCATACCATTCCAAGTAACTTTTCTACAAGGTGTTGACTACAACTTCTGTCTGGGTATATAGTACGTTTACATTGCAAACATTTTTTTGCCATCTGAATACATTTGTTTACACTTATGATCTGTGAAGAATTGTACATTCTATAATAATCCTTGCATTTTTGCAAATCTATTAAATTTATGGAGTAAAATCATCATGGTATAGTGACTGTAGTAATAATCTATATGCTCATGATTTATATAAATTGGAAACTTATTTTATATTTAAATGATAAGATTCCAGATAATACCTCAGTACTGTCTGTGAGGTGCCCTTAATTTCTAAAGCATGTATTTGAATATTTAATATATTAATTATGAAATGAAGTCCTCCGACACTACCTCACGAGACGGGCACTATGTAAATGCAAAGGTATTGAAGGTATTCCATCTTTTTGAAAGGTTTCAAGCTAGGTAAAGCAAGACATTTGGTAAACTGTTTATCTTGAGGTGGGTAGACATTCCTCCTGGGTGTGGATTTACGCTGTTAGCATTTCAGAGACTCCAGAATTTGTCAAAACAGTCTTAATTTTGAAGCTATTTTCTGTAATTTCTTTTAAGAAGTACAGAAAACCAGCTTCAAAGTTAAACCTGAATTCAAATATTTGCCAAATTTTGCATGCCCTAAATTGCTTTGTTTACAAGAGTAAAATCTAGACCCAGGTGGAATTATTTCTAATTGGAAAGAAATCGGTGTCTGATTCTGGGTAGAAGGATGGCAATGAGTGTTCGCAACTCAGCATTTTGTACTTGCCAATCACAGACCAAAAACAACCAAGCTCTTGACTTTAAAGCCATTGTTTTTTAAATTTTAACCTTATATGGAATTTTGGAAAATTCTTAAATTCAGTCTTAATTTGAAAGCTACAAAGTTTTGTGCAAATTGGTATATTTGACCAAATTTACACACAATCACGATAGACATTTCAGATGCAGCATGATGTATAACTTTTTTTAATGGAGCAATTACCAAGTGAACAGTGGAACCTTAAGTGGTGCTTATGCCCAGATACATTTGACATTAGATTAGACTGAAGTGTGTTTTTTGGTCAGCCTGTTGTCTTGACGCATGCTGAAGAGTATCCAATCCATACAGAATCCCATCTATGCATCGAAATAATGTATTTATTGTAAGGGAATCCACACTCTCTACCTGCATTCTGCTTATCTAATTCCGGGGAGTATTAGGTGAAGGTTATAATACTAATAATCCTTGCATTTGATGTAGTGCCTTATCACTTCTTCGACACGTCTCAAAGCGCTTCACAGAATATATTGTAAATTGGATTGACTGTATATTTTGTGGGGGAAACCCGGTAGCAAATTGCGCACAGTAGTGTCCCACACACAGTCATGGATTGATTGACCAATTTATTTTTTTGAAGACATTTTTACCCCAGAAAGTGATCCGCCAACAATTCAGTTCCTACATACTGCAAGGTGAACAGGCGTGTGGAGTAAGGAAACTTGCCCAACATTTTGCCCAGTTGTCAAAGCCAAGGCTTGGGGACCCAGAGTGTGCTTTGGGGTACTGCTGGAGTCTAACCAGCTAAAACCACATAGTCCTTTCAATGCAAAGCTATCTGGTGAGTTGCTTATTCAGCTAGGACCACCCTTCCTGTTAAGGCTTTGGCTTGCAGGATTAGCAAGAGCTGAAGGGGAGAATCCCTGCCCCCAGTAACTAGTCTGCCCTTCCAAGTCCTGTTGATGAGGTAGGCTGTACTGTCGTCAAGAGTGTTCTGGAGTACTGTGGATATGTTTCTGGCTCAGGAACTGGACTGCCGCAGAAGATCTTAATTCTGTCATTCGATTGCCTAACATGTCACTTTGGAGCCAGTTGAGCACCAAGGAGACCTCGCTGACGTCCCCTCACCAAAGACGATAGTCACTAGTAAAGTGCAGTGACTGTTTTGTGAGTGAATGCAGTCGTACCTTGAAGGGTATAAACCTTGTTACATCTGTTTAAACAATGCCAGTTGTCTATTCAACTTCTTTTACAGGAATTGTTCTGTAATTGGGCTGATAATGCCCTTGCCAGAAAAATGCCACTAAAAATTCATGACTGAAAACCTTTATGCATGTGTGTGTATAGATGAATAAATATAACATACGTGATGAAGTATTTTCCATTTTGATTTTTCAAAAAAAATCACAAAAGAAAAATTTCTTGTACATTTGTAAAATATTTTAATGATAATGTGAAATCCTCAGAGTTAAAATACAAATGTTATTTTCTGATATGGAAAGGTACATGCATAGCAGATGTGTAACCAGAGATATGAAATTGTAAAACCATTTAAATGAAATCACAATGTTGTCCCAAAAAATGAATGTTGATAACTGACCTTGACTTGCTGAGGATATGAGATCTTCAGAAAATAAAACAAAATTTGAAAGTATTCTGGTGTGAAAATTTAAGCACGAACAACTAAATGCAATTTTTTTTAAACTTTCAAATGTCCAGTCACAAGACAACAACACAATAGCATTATATGCAGTATGTTTCTGGTACATACACAAAGACAAATGCACAGATAATCTCCATGTCATTATTTCAAATTATTTACCTGAGAAAAACATTACAATTCAAATTAAATGCTTAAATTTATAAATCTGCAATTTTTAAAAATGACAGTACATTTAATAAGCATAATAGGCTACACTGACTCTAATAGGTCAGTGTAACCTATTCTGCACATTCAAATTCTAAACTTTACATTCTCTATATATTGTATATCTTAGGATGTCCGCCTGACGTGAAAGGCACTATACAAATGTAATTTTGTATTGTATATCTTTCAAAAGCATAACAAAAGACAACAGAGCAACCTAGACCCAACAATCTATAACACTTATTATTTTGTGTGAAAATCACCATAATCTGATACGTCTGTGAAAAATAGAGCTATATACAAATTTCATTGCTTGGAAATTTTATGAGTTATTTTCCATTTGTCTTATTCAGCTTATTACAAAACACAGGTAGAAACATTGGTATTAAATCCAACACTGATCCTGATTGACTTCTTTATCATGCAAATTGCCACAAGAGGATTATCAATAATCAGCAAACACACCAAAGAGATACTGTTTGATAGGCTTTACATATTTTTAATGAAAATGTCTTCCACTTTCATGATCAACAAAGTAATGAAAAATTAAAAATACATTCTTTTCAATCTTAGATGTGTTTAAAAAATCAATATGAATTATAATCCTGAAGATCTGCAATGATTTGTGGACAGCTGGGCATTACGGCACTTTAACAGTTCTAGGACAGTAATTATATAACATTCACTACACAGCTAGGAATGCACCAAATTCTACTACACATATTTTAACACTGCCAGGGGAGGTTAAGAAAGCCAATTAAAAGTTACCATCTGAACATACCATCTGAACAAGCAGGTGCAAATGTACTTGTCCTATCCCTAATGAAAGGGACATCAACTGTATACTGCTGAAGGCTAGAATATGGGTTAATATGCTACTGAAAATGAGTTTACTTTGAGATAGCAATTCAATCCAGATTACTTTCTTTGGCATTGAATCAATTTTACCATACACAAAAGGACACATTAGCAGGCAGCAAAGTGTCAAAAGTGCCAAACACTGCAGAGAATTACCATAAATGGACAAATAACTTCACAAAGGAGAAACCACCAAACACAAAATAACCTCTTAACCCGAATGCATGATTATTAACATTTATTAATAGATAATAACCCTTGTATTTGATTTAGAGCTTTATGGTGAAATGTCTCAAAGAGCTTCACATTAATTACTTGTTAAGTGTTGTGACTGGGTACTTATGGGTGAATGTGGCAGCCAATTAGCACACACCAATGTCCCCAAACAGCCATCAATTTAACTGGAGAATTATTGCCCAGGACAAGAGGCCACTTCACTCGTCACTTGATGTTCCCTCTACAATACCTCTGAAGTATACTATGCTTGTTGCAACAATGAACCAGGAGATACATCAGCCATATGAGATGAAATGCTGGCCCTCTGCCCCACACCCCCCACCCAGATATACTGCCAATCTTAAAGCCTACTGAGAAGAGCAATCAACTGAGACATCAGTACATTCAAAATTTTGTTCCTCACATACAACAACAACAAATCACATTTATATAGCGCCTTTCACATTGGAAGGATGCCCCAAGACACTGGCCAGTTAAGGTTTTGCACCCGAGCTGGGGGTTTGAATCAAGAGGGTGGAGGGTAGGAGGGTGGGATTGGTAAGATGGTTGAATGCATGGTAAAAGAGGAATGTCTTGAGACGGGCCTTGAAGGAGGCAAGGTAGGGGGCGAGGTGGAGGGATTCTGCGATGCAGTTCCAGAGAATAGGGGCAGAAAAGCTCAAGACATGACTGCCATTGGTATGGCAGCCAGGGCGGTGGACATGGATCAGGCCGGTACCTGCTGAGTGGAGGGAGTGGACAGGTTGGTAAGGCGTTAACAGGTTGCAGAGGTAGGGAGAAGCATGACCGTGGAGGGCTTTAAAAGGACAAGGATTTTAAACTCAAGCTGTAATTACATCATTGAATGTTTACAGGCTGGAAACACTTAATGACAACAACAACTTGCATTGATGTACGCCCTTCATGCGGGGTAGCGTCCCGAATGACATGGTTTCCTTTCATAGCACGGTGCAAATCTGCAAACAGCGGTGGAGCAGATCTAATCAATTCGCTTTATAACACTTGTACAAAACCCAGAACCCTCCTGCTAGCTACTTTGGATGTTGTCTTTCAGAGGACCATCAAGACATGTGGAACCTCTTCTGCAGGTACCACTTCTAAGAGGAACATTCAAGTGACAGATCCTCCTACATGTCACTTGTCCAATCATTTACAAACCTGTGAACAGAAGATAGTGACAATTTTATTGCAGGAATCATGTTTGCTGCAGCATGTACGGTTACACTTAATAGTAAACAATCATTGTGGCATCAAAAACATTGCAGAGCAAATTGTATTTTTATTTATGCCATTTTCTACTTATCTGTTGTTAGCACCACAGGTTATAATGAAAGTAACTGCATATATTTATTACTTTTATTATGCATTTGTATATTTACCTGCAGCATTCTCCTTTTTTTTAAATATATTTTTCTCATTACATCTCCACTGTTGTCTTTTCCATGTTTTCTTTCCAGTTCCTCCTTCATATGTAGGTTTGAGCCGCTTGTCTGTAGCTGTAGCAATTTCTGAAATGTTCAATTACATGTGGTGCTCTTTTACCCTATAGATCCCGTTGTCATCAATATATTCATATGGAGGATATGACCAGTTGCTACAGAGAAATGATTTCCTCTATCTCAATACTGAACTTCCATTTACTTTCAATGTGTCATTCAGAATAGTGTATTATTGGACATTATTAGTACATCGATATGGTTTGTCTGCTTGTTCTATACTACAATGGTCCTCAACCTTTTGGGTTGCAGGACCTAGTCAATAGGTTTGGTGCAAAAAACATCTGGCTTACTAAGTATTTCTTACCCATGATGTATACTATACACATTGGCATAATAAGTACTAAATGCAGCAAATATTAAAAATATAGTACCCAAGTATTTATTGTCTAAATCCTAGGTTCCACTTAATGAGAAACCTGAACTTGCTTCTCTTTGATGAGTTTATCAAAAGTTTGGTATAAAAGAATTTTCCATTGTAATTCACGGCTGCTTGCAACAGGAGAGTTTAAACATTTCTCCATTTCACTGACTACAAGACTCACTTCGCTGACTAAAGAACACTCCAAACTCCCCACTGCAAGATTACAGTAAAATGATGGAACGTTGCATTTGAATGGCTAAATGCTGGCATTTGCTGCTGTTTAAATAACTTTGTTACAGAACTTCGTCTGCAAGGACCGCAGGTTCGAAATTCTCAATGTTCCACAACAGTCTCTGCGCTGTTCGGATTAATTCAGTGAATGGCCTTTCGCTGTCAAGACAAGTTTCGGACCGTCCTTTACAACCGCTGGTTGTTGTCGGTGGGTTCTTATGTGGGTTCTTATAATAGAAGCTCATGCACAGCGTTAACATGTGGTGTAGCACTATTGCGGAGTCCTGTAGCTCAGTGGTTAGAGCACTCGCTTTGCAAGTGAGAGACCTGAGTTCAATTCCAGGCAGGGCGAAACCTTGAGCAAGTTTCCTTACTCCACACGCCTAATAATAATCCCTCCAAAACCCCAAACAATAATAAATTGGTCATTTTCAATCTACGACTGTTTGTGGGACATTGCTGTGCGCAATTGGCTGCCGCGTTCGCCCACAAATGTACAGTCAATTCACTTTACAGTGTGTTCTGTGAAGCGCTTTGGGATGTCCTCCCGACGTGAAAAGCGCTATATCAAATGCAAAGATTATTATTGCACTCAATTATTTAAATAAAATGCAAACATTTTCAAAATTTGTTCTCGACCCTTCTGACACATTCTGGCAACCTAATTTTGAGTTGCGACCCACAGGTTGAGAAACCCTGCTATAGGATACATTCTGTCATATATGGAAAGCACAACTTCACTTGTGTCCACTTTGTTCCATTGGCGTAGTTTCAAACTCGGTCCAAGTGTGATTTACAGTGCTGATACTAATAATCCTTGTATTTGATATAGCACCTTATCATGTCTTCTAAACGTCTCAAAGCGTTTAACAGAATATACTGCAAAGTGAATTTTGTGGGTGAAACATAATGTACAACATATAACAATTCAGAATATGCAACACAATTGTAATTCACTGTAATTCAGTTCTAATAAGTCCTAACCCTGATCCCACTTCTCACACATCCTCCCAAAATAATTTGCTCTTTTTTTTATTACATATATTCCTCAAATTTATTGCTATTTAAAAAAAACTACTGTACATTGAAATATGCTAACCAGCATTAATAGCATTCAAAATTGCCTTAAGGCCTGGACTGTCATTTTTCACATCGCGGTAAGACTGCATAAAAATTACCAACAGTCAGAATAAAAATCTATGATTTCTCCAAAGCCTTTTTCTCAGAGAGAAAAGATTACTATGGAAAATAAAAGATTTACTTTTATATACACTTGTGACTTAAGGGTAATTACAGAAATATTTGTTTTAATTTATCTTTTCTCAGCAAACATTTTGTTCTTTTCCTGAATGCATCACAATTTTCATTTTTGGCACTAAGATGAACTTGAATTTAACAAAGCAAAACTCAAGAGCCGAAATATATTATTTTAGTAGTTGGAATATCTATAACAATTCAACATAGTTCCTTTTTACACACACTGTACATCAAACCTTCCTATATTGTGTGTGACTTGTTTGAAAATTAAGTCACTTGAAGTAAAATAGAAACTCTCAATAGCTTTGCTTCAGTCAGTGATGTTGGGAAATAAAATATCCTGTCCTTTCACCTTTGCTTTTAAGAGTCAGATGGAGGTCGGAGACCCTTAAACACATGTTCATCCAATGTTTTCCAGTACTTGTAGTTTTCATTCAAGTGAAGCATTAAATTTGGAAGGTTTGCAAACGCTGTAAGGAAGAGAGTAGAAATTAGATAAAATGAATTCAAGTTATGTACAGTATGCACAGTATAATATTTATGAATTTATTCTCCTCGGGCAAGGAAGAAGGTAAGCAGGTTCTTTCTGAAGATTCTAAGATAATATGGAAAGCAAATCAAGTCAATTCTTTGTGGAAGGCACAATGACATAATATTTTAGCAAAGTGTGCCCACAGTTGATGATGGACCAATTGGGAGTTGGTGGGGTACGCATAGAACTGGGCATCAAGATTCTTCCTGATAGTTTTGCAAACTAGTGTTCTAATGTGGTCCTAGAAGGACAAGCAGCGGAAACCTACCAGTACCTCATAAATTAGGTGCTTACAGTTCAGCAGCAGCTCAACAAGCATTGCGGGTTTAGTTTTATAGTGTGTACCCCGGACAAATACTGCACACTCCTGAACTGCCTAAGAAACCACTGCTTCTGTAAGTTCTTGGTAGCTGGAAGCAGATACTCTTAAAGCATGGCAGAGGCCTCCTGGTTTATCAAACACCCAGCTGGCAAGACAAAATAATGTGGGGCTATGTTTTGTAATATCTGTGATGCCTGAAGTCTCTGCCTTAGCTTTAAGAGAATTGCACTTTGGAAAATTATTAAATTCACTCCTAATTTAAAAGTCGGGTTTGAACAGTTTTTTTAAGCAATAAAATCATTAAAATTTGCTGCAAATAAAAAAAGATATTGAAATTCTTACCATCCCAAGCATCAAACATATCATTTATAAAATAGTCGATAAATGATATCTGAGATTTCGGAATACTACAAGAATTGCGATCAAAGACCGGCATCACGACTGGCAAACCTTGACTTTTCTCCTCATCTGTCTGTAGACAAACACAATGATTGATAAATAAAGAGAATAAGAGAATGTCACTTACAACACAGGGTTTCTACTTCATCTGTATCAACTCATTTAAGCAACATTCAGACTAATTGTCTTAATTGAGTGTATTCGATCAATCTCTTTCACCCAAATGTATAATCTTATGTTTGATATTAATCTTACATTTGGTATAGAGCCTTTCACATCAGGGGATATCTCAATGCACTTCAAAGGATATAGTGCAAATTGTAATGATTATGTATTTTGTATAATATGCAGAAAATAAACAATAAAAATTACAGTAAGTTGAGACTAAGGAAAATATAATTCTGATAAGTACAAACAAAGATTATTTATTATATCTCAATATATGGACCAAAATGCCATTTAATCTTTGCCTGTCAGTCCAATTTCTCTTAAAAGTAAAAGATTTTAACTGTATACAATTGTGGAAAATTATTATCTAGTCTTAATTTGGAAGACAGGTTATTTAAACAACTGTGGAAAACATCTTCTAAATTCTGACTGAATTTAAGAATTTTCCATTATTCTGTCTGAACTTAATTTTTTTTAGACAAAATAGACTTACAGGAAAACACAAGGTAATTTGGGGTTTACACTAGTTGGAATATCGTGAAATAAATGAAAACTATTTCTCTTTACATTTTAATGCATTTGGAAAAGTCTCATTCTTCATTTAGGATTTGCTTCAAAGAAGCTGAAACTCTAAAGCTTTGAATTACTTTAAAATATGCAATATTATTTTTATCATATATTACCTGAGCAAAATATTCTTCTGAAATTCTTCCTGCCCATTCGATGCACAACTCTATTGGGCGGCAAGGGTTGGCAACATCAGCACATTTAATCATCATACGTTTAATGAGTAGTCTATTTTCCACAGAGTTCTTTAGGTTGGATGAATATTCACCATCACTGCTGCCACTCTGTGGAATATAAGCAGGATTTTCAGCACTTAAACAGCATTGGTTGTCATAAAGCAATCCATTGGTTATCAGCATTATACAATGCTATGTCAAGGTATGTTTTGTTCATAAACCTACAGTATGAAATAACTTATGATTGGTAACTTCTTTTAACTGCAATTTTGGTCGCCCTTTTTTGTTTATTGCGGTGACGGATGTCAGGGATTGGAGTATTCAATAGGAATGGAGACATTATAAATGTATAGAAGATGCTATTTGGGATAGAGAAATAAACCCAAAACAATACATTTACGTACGGTAAGGTCACAGGTTCAGGGCTGTGACGGGAAATGTTGTGACAGCCATAAGAAAGTATTTCTGGATTAAGGGACTAATCAACTCAGGGTTGATTAGTCAATTCAGGGTTGGATTAGCAAGCAAGTGGTTGATGCCTAGATATGGGACAACCTCAAGACAACCTCACGACTCCAAGGGGGAAAAAATCTTGAAATCTAAAGTCCTACTTGAGGCTTTTTTGTTTTAGGATCATATCCTTTCTTTTAGACTGATTCAACTAAGTTGCTGACATCTGTATCAACTATGACTTTCAGCATTTTAAAGACCAGAATAATGTACTCCTCAATCTGCCTTTGAAGATGGAAAAACACACTATAAACACATGTCAGAATTGGTTCAGAAAATATTAGCAATTTCACTACTTCATTTTCACTATATCAACAGTAAGTTACAATAGAAGGATATTCTCTAGTAGCCATTCATGCTGCAAGAGTGTAGAAATATTATTCACATGCCGCAAGATGGTGAATATGAAGATTGCTTATTGAATGTAATCCTGAGTTTAGTTAGCAGACACTTGAAATCCTGATAACAGAAGCAAGAAGAATGCAATATTGAGCCCTCAAATTTGTTACAAGATAGTACTTTAATCAAGGAATAGAGATAATGCTAAAAAATAGTCTAATCTGAAGAGGCAACACCTCCAACAATACAACGCTCCCCTTGCACTGTATTGGAATGTCAGCAATATCAAACATATGAGTTCAAAGTCCTGACAGGGTCTTAAAACCCACAAGCTTCTGATTCAGGGGTCAGAGTGCTACCAATGTACATCTTTGATAAGAAAGCTTTTGCCAACATCTGAAATTTAACATGCTTAAGGGAGGGATATATAGGTAGGCAGGCACATGTAAAGAAAGAGTATTGAGGGATATAGAGTGAAGGTGGAGAGATTAAAAGCTGATAAATTGCAGAATAGACTCGAGGGTAAATGGCCTCCACCTGTTTCTACGTTTCTAACCCTTGGATTAATTTATTAATCAGTTAAGGATATCACTTGCTTTTATAATATATACGATAAACTATCAATTTTATGGAGAAGTTCTACTGTTGCGAGTTATTTCGTCAGTAGTTGGTGATGATGATTCCAATTGCCAATACATTCCATGCTATTGACACATAGTGCACTTACATTGATCATATATGAGGAAGTAATAGTTGCAATATCATCACTAAAATTTTATTAAGCAATAATCCGCAGTAGATTAATGGGAAATTCAATGGCCAATATACATTATAAATTAGTTATTTGTAAAATGACAGTATAAGGTAAAACGTCTGATTCAACACCAGGTCATTACTGCCACAGCTGAGGTTGAAACCTTACATTTGAGTTAGTTTCCTCAAGAGATGTCATTGGTTTGTTGACACTGTTCACAAATTTGTTCACATGTTCAAAATGCTTTGTCATCTCTGTTGCCAAAACCATGTCAATAATCGCCTGCCTCAACGTTCGATACTGATTCCTGAAAAAAATGAATAAATGATTAAAAACGCGGAGATTTTCTTTTTTAAGTTGAACGCTGTGACAAAATGCTGCTGCCTTTTAATTAAAAAAAATCTCACCTCTCTCTACTGCAATTTTAATTTGGTAAATCAAAAAGAGAGTTTGGGGATAAAAGTGGAACTTTACAACAATTCTCGGCCATCATTGCATTCTGATTTTTCATTGGCAAAGTTTATCTTTATTGATCCAATTCTCCTATCAACCCGTAAAAAAACTAACCTTTCAGCGTTTTTGAAGATGTTGCACTTGTGGTCTCGTGCTGTGAGCTGGAATGCCAGGGCAGAATGGTGACTTTCCAGGACTGCAGTGTCATTGTAGAGGACAGCTAGCTCACTTCCTGCATTACATAGGAAGGAGTTTGTGCGACCTGGGTGGTCAACATCATGTACTGTGGCTGCAATAAGTGCAGCAACCTCATCCAACTGATCCAAACACCCCTACAAACACAGAGAGAAATTACACAGGCTGCAATGACCAAACCACTGGTTGTAACAACTGGTACTGCACTTCATTGAGCAAGACCCTATATTAAGTAATCAAGTAACTCACAAAGCTAATAATAACTGAACATATTGTTCATTAATTTTGTACAATTTTAATCTAAAACATTGACATTTAGTAAGAATGATGGCATTTTAACATATATTAACAAAACATATTACTTTATATATTACATTTAAATATTCTAACATCTGCTTATTTTCCCCTTTCTTTGTTACCATGTCCCACAGAAGACATAGAACTATAGAATAGGGGAAGGCCTTCGTTGATGCTTGCACATTGATTGGAACCAACTACTATAATCCCCATTCTCTGCGTTTTTCTGTGCACTCTTACATTCTTCCTCCTCAAATTTTTCTCCAATTAGTTTTTAAGTGTTGTTATGGTTTCTTCACTAATAGCCACTTGAGAAAGAACTTTCCACATACTGTACCAATAATCCTCTGCATGACAAAGTTTATTTTAACTTCTCGTCTTTGTAGTAACAATCCTGCGCAGGTGCCCGCTTGTTGCTATAGGAAAAATATCAGTGGCAAACTTTGGGTTTTTAGCTGTTTAAACTCTAGCAATATACCAACACAAACTCTGGAGCCTCCAAGCCTGGCTCTTGCCAACCTGCGCTTAATACTCTCTGGAAGTAGGTTGCTTCCCTCTGAGGAGTGAATGCGCTTTGCATTCAGACACGGAAATGTACATGTGTAGGTGGCATACAACTCTCAGTCTGATTTGGTGCTCTTAAGCATGATGATGAGTTTCTGTATGTGTCATGCTGACCCCCCAAAAATGGTGCTCCATCAAAGCACACTAAATACCTTCTGCCTTACAATGTCCAGCCATCCCACCAAGTACATCATAGGTGGTCATATTTGAACAACACTCCTGAGTCATTTAAAGGGCACAGAAAGACTGTTAAATTTGACGATCTCAGACACTACATGCATATAAATATTGTAGGCTATTTAATATTTCCCTTTCTTGAAGAGTGAGAGCTGGGAATCACTCAAGGTAGAGGAGTACAATAAGCTATTATTAGCAAAACAGATAGTTTATTTGTTCAGTATGTGAACGGTTACCTTGACTCGATCCTTCCGCAAGAAGTATGCTGTGGCATGCAAGACATCAGCTGCGTGTGTTGAATTGTGGTATGAATTTGATGCATGATAATTTGTCTCAATGACCTGCAACCACGACCTGAGAGTTGCTTCTGAACAGTTCAAAAACTCACATACTCCAAACTGTGCGAAGATTTTTAATCCCAGGTGGACTAATGGCCTAAAAGGACAGAAAAGGCAACATAGAAGAATTTAAGAATGGTCAAGAATGGCCTATCAATCCTTTTTTTGACTGATTATAGTTTATACTTTGCTCGATGAATGACGTAAACTTGGAATGATTTTTTATATTGTGCACTTTCCAATTGCTCTTCCAAATTTATTTTTCTAATTTTATTTTAATCGACATTAAAATAACAACAACAATATAACAAATTGCATTTATATAGCACCTTTCAGGTTGGGAGAATGTCTTCCCCAGTGCCTTGTATGAATGCTAATTTTAATAATTAAAATAAAATTAGAAAAAAGTACGTACCTAGTAAAAGGCATTTCAGATTTTTTAAAATCTTATAAACTGAAAAATGTAACATACTTTACTTACAATTGTACCCATTCAACCCTGGATAACAAATCTTCTAATTAAAGTATGCCATTAACCGACCCATCAGTAATTAAAAACAACTATAATGCAAAGGTTCACGCTAGGCATTCATTTATAGGATGAAGCCAAATGTAAATGGCTTCAGCATATAAATGAATGCAGCTGAAACAGAATATTAAAATATAATTAAAGAAAGCACTTTCTACTCTTCAATTAGAAATCATCTGACAACAAGCCATCAAAGAGAAAATGGACAGAACATAAATATTATACCAGTTTGCTGAACTTAACCTGTGGAACACCAAAGAGTTTCCAATTTAAAACAAAAGCCAACCTTTTATTAGTTGCAGTCTCTAGTTTGAAGATATTGAAATCCCAGGTTTCTTCTCCTTCCAACAGTTCTGCTATATGAGGTGGGACATCACTGAGTGTGACGGGTATTGCACAGGGCCCATGAGTCAGCTGCACATCTGTCAGAACAAAAAGTCCAATTTAAAGTCTTCATGTATAATATTGTTTATAATAATTATCCTTGTATTTGATATAGTGCCTTTCAAATCAGGAGGATGTTTCAGAGCGCTTTGTAATTTGTAGGCCAGGTATTCTTTGTTGTGTAATTGTACAAACTCATTTTTTATAAGAGTACCACATTAACAACATTGACTCAAATAGTGCTTTTCATGGAGAATGAGCATTACAAAGAGCTTAACAGATATAACAGAGAGCTCCAGTCGGTGGGAAGGGACAATTAAAAATGTTGAAACTGCTTCAAGTCAAGTACTGAGTATAAATTGTCTGGAGCCACCTCATTTACCCTGACACGCACAGTGGACAATTGCACTGACTGATAACATTGGAATTTGTTCAAAAGCTGTAGAGGATAGTATGGCAACATCAATGTGTAGACAACCAGTCGTATTGTTTGTTTTCAAAGACAAGGAGGAGACTAAGACAATTTATAATATTAATATAAATTTAATATAATTTATAAACCTTTATCACCTCAAGGCTGGACTACGGGAACTCTCTCCTCGCCGGCCTTCCCGGCACCTCCCTCCACAAGCTGCAGGTCATTCAGAACTCTGCAGCTCGTGTACTGTCCCGCACCAGGCTTCGTGACCACATCACTCCCACCCTCGCTCTCCTCCACTGGCTCCTCAGCCCCCAGAGGATCGAATTCAAGATCCTCATCCTCACCTACAAGGCCATTCACAGCCTCGCTCCCTCCTACCTCTCCAACCTACTATCCCCCTACTTACCTGCCCGTACCCTCCGTTCCTCTGGCTCTGGTCTGCTCCACATCCTCCGCCCCAACCGCCCTACCATCGGTGGCCGGGCCTTCAGCCTCTCAGCCCCGAGGCTCTGAACTCTATCCCCCAGTGCCTTCACCTTGCCTCCTCCCTTTCCTCCTTCAAGGCCGGTCTCAAGATCTTTCTCTTCAACTGTGCCTTCACCTCTCCTCTCGACTCTCTACCCCCTCCTCGCTCCATCCCTTCCCTCCCCTCACCCTGACCATTTCCCCCCTGCTCGGGTCCCGACCCAACTATCCAGCGCCTTGGGATGTCTTCCTGACGTGAAAGTCACTCTATAAATGCAATCTTGTTGTTGTTGTTGTTATAATGTCTTCCTTCTCTCAGGATTCTTTGTTCTCACTTTCTCCTTTCTCAGTGGTTCTGCAACCAGCCAGTTTAGGAGATGTGCAAGAGCCCCATGTGACTGACTCTCTGATCTACTCTTCTTCAGTTTAGTGCTTTCTCTCAACAGTACAGTGGGGAGGAGGCACACATCACCGTAGAGGACTATAGGTACTGTGTCTGACTCCTCCATGGGGCCCTGGTATAAAACCATACAGACCTTGTCTTCTTTTTTGAACTCAACTAAGGCAGATTATATGAACTGGAATACAGTTTGACATCCTTGTAATATCCCAGACCTGACAATACAGTGTGATGCACCAAATAGACTCCACCTTTTGGTTACAGCACCAAAGTATGTCCATCATTTCAAATAGGGACGGCTGTGGTATTAGCTGGCCTGTAGGGAGGGAGTGAGGACAGCTTTTTCACAGACGCAGAGCAAACGGTTCAAGCCAAATCTCAAGATCATGAAAGAGGTATTAACAAAGAATGCCCTTTGGTTTATTCAGTCTCAGGATACCCAACCTATCATTCACCCGTTGCAGAGTCAAGCAGTTTCTTATAGTCTAACCTCTAGCACTCTTCATAGAACCTGTTTCTCCAGTTAATCACCCTTTCTGTAAAGAAATACAAAATATATACTTCACAACTTCAAACCTGTGTTCTCTTCTCTAGCTGCCTTCACTTAACTGAAAGTCAACCTAAATTACACCCATATATTCCCAGCATTTGGTTACAAAGCAGCATTGATAGAGATCTAAGAACATGTTCCTTCCTGCCTGCTTGTTTGCAAAATGTGATTGGGGGAGGGAGAAATTAAAAATAGTCCAGATCACTTAAAGAAACAAAAATAATTGTTTATTTGATGAAAAATGTATCTGAAGTGTACCTGGCTCTTCCTCGATCTGTCCCTCAAGAGATGTCCATGCTTCGTTTTTATCTGTTTGTCGCAAAGCTATGTAACACAATAAAAAAGCATCGTTATAGAGCGGGTTATTTTTTAGAAGGGGAGAGATTGGAATGTGTTAGCGTCCAGAGGGACTTGGATGTCCTTGTACACCAATCACAGAAAGTTAGTCTGCAGGGGCAGCAGCATTTAGGAAGGCGAACGGTATGTTAGCATTCATTATGAAAGGATTAGAGTATAAGAGTAGGGAAGTCTTGCTGCAACTGTATAGGGCCCTGGTGAGACCACACCTGGAATACTGTGTCCAGTTTTGGTCTCCTTAATTAAGGAAGGATGTACTTGCCTTGGAGGAGGTGCGGCGTAGGTTTACTAGGTTAGTACCAGGGATGAAGGGGATGAGTTACAAGGATAGGCTGACCAATTTGGGCCTATATTCTCTAGAATATGGAAGAATTAGAGGGGATTTTATAGAAACCTATAAAATCATCAAAGGGCATGACAGAGTAGATAGTGGGAGATTGTTTCCCCTGGTTGGAGAAACTAAAACCAGAATCACAACCTTAAAATCAGAGGCCAGCCCTTTCGCAGAACTTCTTCACTCAAAGGGTGGTGAATGTATGGAACTCATTACCCCAAAAGGTTGTTGACGCTCAGTCCTTGAACATATTCAAGACTGAGATAGATAGATTTCTTATTGCAAAAGGTATTAAGGGATATGTGGATAAGGCAGGGTTAGGTTATTAACTGGAGTTAGATTAGTAGATCAGCTATGATTGAATGGCAGGGCAGGCTCGAAGGGCCGAATGGCCTACTCTTGCTCCTACATGTTATGTTATGTTATAGAATTATTTAGCTACTGATCGAAATTGGGCACATCTTCAAACTCCTATACAGTGCAACCCCATATGTGATTTTTGTAGAGAGGTAGAACTTGAGTCACAGGAAAGTATACTGAGCTTGTACAGAGCACATGGCTAGGCCAAGTGGGGTACTCTGTGTAATTCTGCTCACCTTATTACAGTAAAAACATATTGCATTTAGAGAGGGTACTTTGAAGAATAACTAAATTGATACCTTCCTTCTACAGTTGAGCAAAAGTAACTCTATGAAGGACTTCCTTCTATTAATTTATCCTCTGCAGATCATTCAATTTAGCTTCACTGACGCAGTGCATAAATCGGTGTGGATACGGAAAATTAAAATGCACTGAAAAACGCATTCTGTATTGTTTTGAAAGTTCAGAAGTACACCAGTCATCACATTTAATGATTTAGAAATGTGATAATTTTATATTTCTTATTCGCAACAAATCTGTTAAGAAATACTGCATGGGAAATGTTAAAATTCTTTAAAAAAGGGAAATATTTAAGAAATTGAGGAAAGATGAACTTACATTTTGAGAAAATATATTCATTACCAGACAATCTTCGTAATCCATCCTGAAAAAAACAAACAGGCGTAATGCGTAAACTAACACATTTTAATAATCATACTTGCATTTGATATAGTGCCTGATCACTTCATCAAAATGTCTTAAAGCACTTAACAAGATTGACAATAAAGTATAGCGTTCCGACTTGCTATCCTGTGTGAAAGGCACTCTTTCAATGTACTTTGTTGTTGTAGAGACAGTATTTTTTGTAGGCAAACATTATACTTTACCTGTAACATGAGCATTCTCTATTTAATGTATATAATACAATTATGCAATTCAAATAAAGAACAAACATTCAAATATGAAGTGGTATAAGTAATTTTGTGAGGAGCAACTGAAATGTTTAATTTGAAAGAACTCTATACCACAATTAAAATTATACGCCCAAGGCCCAAAATTCCACCTGGTCTTACTCTTTAAGACAATTTTGTGTTAAAATATAATATTGCTCAGAATGGTGGAAAATTCAGAAATTCGTTCTTAATCTGGAGCCTTTTTCATTTTAAAAACTGCAAAGAATTGGCTTTCCAAATCTATCAGGCAAGGCAAAGAGCTTTGGCAGAGATCTGAGAGCAAGTTGGCTGCACAACAACAAAAACAACAACAACAACAGGCATTTATATAGCACCCCTCACGCAGGGGAATGTCCCAGAGCCCTTGGCTGTCATTTTAGCCACAGCATAATACCCCAAGGGAGAGCTTCAAGAAAGTGCAGAGCAATAAATGCCAAATTTAAAAAGGGAAATAGCAAGTTATTAAAAAGTCTATATCCTTTAAAATACTTCCTACTGCTAAGATTCATTTTTTGTGTGTATTATCTGAAAAAAAAATATATGTTGTAGAACAGGATGACACAAATATAAGGTTTGATGAGTCAGATCTGCTCTCGACTCAGATTATTCTGCTTCTTTGCTGTTCAGACATACAAAAGTAGATGTACAGTTGTTCAGTTCTGAAGGCTTAATACCAACAATTGTATATCCCAATTTATTCTATATTTTGGTAAGATTACCAATGGTTTTATGCTATGATGCATGACTTATCATAACAGGCACATTACTGAGTAAAATGTCCTTATAGCTGGTCCTTACTAACTCACAGTCATGAGACCTCCAACAAGATTACTGGTGTGTAGGTCATCATCTTTGATGCCAATCTGTGGTGAGTAGAGTTCCGTTGTTCTCAAGATTTCCAGGACTCTGTCCAATGCCTCGGCCACTGTTACTGGGCTATTTTCCTGGGCAGCATTAATTATATTGATAACCTGTCAGGAAAGGAAAAAGAGAAAGAGTTGCATTTCAATAAATCGTTGAAGTTATTTGCACAAACCCCAGAACTGACCAAAAGCATCATCTTTCCAGCTCTTCACTCATACCATTTCTCACCACAAATGATCTAGCACGGTCCTTAATTCAAATACAATCCAAATCTTCGCACTTTCTGATTCCATGCTACGATACACTTTCATGATGACACTCTGGTATGCATCGTTCTCATGTGTGAGCCTAAACAGTACATGAAAGATTCTCAATTGTGGGGTGCATCCCAACCAAACCTGATCCTGTCCTCACCCAATATTCATCACTGCAAGTAAAGGTTTTCATAGTATCAGCATTTATACTTATAATCCCACATTGCCAAAGTGGCTACAAGTAACTACAGCCAGAATTTCATCCCTGTGGTGCCTGTGTGTTTGTATGGATCAGTGTCACATCGGGCAGTTCACTTAACATTAATGAAATGATATAATAATAAACCTTCCATTTGGTTTAGCATCTTTCATCATTCATTAAAGCAAATTTGTTAATAGTGTAGAAGCTGCTGTGACAAACAAATTCATCAGCCAGATGTTTAGACTGTGTGAACGGCCATCTTCGGATACCATGGCTAACCATTATTAAAGCAGAAGAATAAATCAGTCAGGTTTGCTCTGTACGGCTGGCTGTTTGGTAGAAATTCCATCTGGGTCTAGATTTAATCTGTTAACATAACATTTCAGAGCTTCCAGCATTTGACAAAATTCTTAAACACAGTCTTTAATTCTGAAGCTGGTTTTCTGTAAGTCCTTTTAAGACTTACTCAAAAGAGACTCCAATTAAATCAACAATTTGCCAAATTCTGCACTCTCTGAAATGCTATGTTAATAAAGTAAATCTTGACTCGGGTGGAATTTTACCCCATGGATGCATTGGTGAAAGATAAATTGTCATGGAAACTATTTTGATTTAATAATAGAAAATGTTTTCCAGGATTCTTGTAGGGACCTGATTTTGTTTTGTTTGAAAAGATTTCACTTACTTTAGCACCAGTCCCTGAATTTGCCCGCTGCTGTCCGTTTTATTTGGTCAGCCAGGTGTCTAACACATGTGAAAACCCCTCAGTGTGCTTAAGAGTACCCAAACCAAACTGAGAATTCCATGCATCCCATCTACACATGGAAATTCCAGAGATAGGTTGTTGGAATGGAATACGCACTCTCTCCCTGGAGCCATACATCCTTACCGAATTCTGGAAAGTATTTAGGCGCAGGAGCCAAGGCTTGGGCACCCCAGAGTGTTCGGAGTTACTGCTGGATTCTAACCAGCTAAAACTGCACAGCTTGCTATCACTGTCTTGCAAGCTTTCCTGCGGCTTGTCCAGCTAGGACCACCCTACCCATTAGGGCTTTGGCTTGCAGGTTTAACAGGAGCTGCGTGTGCCATCAGTGACTAGTCTAATACTCCCTGCCCCCAGTGACTAGTCTGCCCTTCCAAGTCCTGCCGATGAGGCAGGCTCGCTGTGCTGTCAGTAGTAGTGCCCTGGACACTAGTCCCTATACTTTCCCTGAACTCTCTTATATGTTTAGTTTGGAGTTAATCCTAACTCACTGCTCTGTCACTGCATGTTGTTTATCCTCAAATACGTATACAACTTTAATCAAAATGTCAATTATTTTTGATGCAAGCCACTACAGAATTTGTAGTGTGTCTCCTTTTCAGTGATGCCTGACTTACAGCAGTGAAGGTTGTAGGTTGTAGCAGTTGTAGAGAATTGCAGAGACATTTAGAAGTTAATAAATTTGACTCTACGGTTGATCTACAATTAACTGCCGTTCTGTATTGCCGAGTGCTTCTCCTGAAGGCTGAAGTTATTAATTGGTCACAGTACAGAAAGTTGTGGGAATAAATACACTACTCTCGGAACTCACCTTTGTAATTGGAGCTTCTATTGTCATGGAGTGAATTCTTGCCATTGAGGAGTATCGGCGGTTGTGTGAACTTCCTGTTGGAATCAGCAGCAGAGAAAAGGTTTTCAGATATCTCACACTGTTCAGCACCTTGTATTTGTCAATGGAATGGTGAGTGGATAGGCTGGTTTTGTGGGATAAAGCTATGTGCAAGGATGAGGGTCTTTAGTATGATCACTATTCTGAATGTCATCAAACCCGCTAGTCCGTACTTATCGTACAGACTTCAAGGCAAATATTCATAACATTTTTGTTAAAAAAATCGCAATGGACTTGTCTATTTGGATGAGGATGTTCCATAGACTTTCTTACCATCACTTCCTCTTGATGTTACAGATCTGACGTCAATGGAACCTTTCCGTCTGTCTTTATGTCTTAAAGAATGTGAATCTATGAAGAAAAAAAGCATTATGTTCATGTACGCAAGGAGTATCTTAGTGAACCTCCCAGTCCCATTCTCTGTTTAGGTGGGTGTTAAAGATCCCTTGATACTACAATGAAAAGAGAAGAAATAACATAATGAATTGATTGTTTATATGATGGCTGTTTGTGGAACCTTGCTGATACATCAATGTATTATTCACAAAAACAGTCACAAACATGACAGCAATTAAGTACTTTAGGACATCTTGACAAGATATGGCATGTAAATATGCAAATTATTTTACTGATACTGCTAAGAAGTATTTATTATTGCTATGCTGACCCCTGTACTCATCCAGACCAAGAATTTTCACCATAGTCTATTTAATTGTACAGTCCTGATTACAATTGCCTTGTTCAAATATCATTCATTATGCTTTGTCCTGTTATGATGCCTCCCACCACAATAATCAAAGGGATTGTCAGCCCTCATTTGCTCTGCTCAGACATGAAGAATGACTGTTATAAAATAGATTGTAGGGATCTCCAGTGCAGTGACAAACTCAACACTTGGACCAAGTAGAACCAGTTTGATCCTTGGTTTGTGCTGAGTTATTTGATCTTCGTCTGCGAAATGACCCAATTGGCTTTAATGCCCTGGGGCAGGAAGAGGGAAATCAGCCAGGGTTCCTAATTCAAATCTTTATCTATAGAAACATGGAGATGTACAACAACAACAAAATTAAATTTGTATAGCGTCTTTCACATCGGGAGGATGTCCCAAGGCGCTGGACAGTCAGTGTTTCGGACTCAAGTTGGGGATCAGGGACGGTAAACAGCAGTGGGGGAAAGGAGGGTTCCCGAAGGCATGGTTGATGAGGTGGGTTTTGAGATGGTTCTTGATGGAAGCAAGGGAGGGGGTGAGGCGGAGAGACTGAGGAATGGAGTTCCAGAGGGTGGGGGCAGAGTGGTAGAAGGCCCTCCTGCCAATGGTCAGGCAGGCGAGGTGGGGGACATGAAGCAGGCCGGAGCCTGCTGAGTGGAGGGAGTGAACAGGTTGATATGACGTTAGCAGATCATAGAGGTAGGAAGGAGCGAGGCCATCGAGGGTTTTGAACTCTATCCTCTGGGGCATGGGGAACCAGTGAAGCTGGGCGAGGACGGAGATCATGGGGTCATGGAGCCTAATATTTGAGGGACACCAGCTGTAGAGTTCTGGATGATCTGCAGTTTGTGGAGAGAAGAGTTGGAAGGCCAACATGCAGGGAGTTGGCGGAGTCAAACCTGGGCGTGATGAATGCGTGGCTGAGGGTTTTGGCGGCCTGAGGGGAGAAGCAGTAGCGGAGCAGGGCTATGTTGTGGAGGTGGGGGAAGGCAGAGCCGATCATGGCTGGATGTGGGGTAGAAAGGACAGATGAGGATCAAACAAAATGCCAAGCTTCTGGATTGGCTCAGTGAGGAAGAGTGTGCATCCTTGGATGGTGATGCTGTCAGTGCCTGAGGTGTGTAAAAGGACATCCATACCATCTTTTAACCTAACATATAACATTTATATAACCTGACATGTATAAGGTTGAAAACTAACATTTTCAACCTTATATACTGAAACCCAAAAGCAGTCCTACTGAAGACCAATGTGCCATTGATACAGGCGAGGTCTCATATTATTGTGCATTTTACCTAGCAGTGAGTAGAAACTTGGTTGTTAGTTGACTGGCAGATCATTTTTCTGGGGGTGATAATTTTTACCCCCCAAAAAATAATAAATTGCTCATTTCAATCCACGACTGATTGTGGGACTCTGCTGTGCACAATTGGCTGCTGCGTTTTGCCCACAAAATATACAGTCAATTCACTTTACAGTATATTCTGTGAAGAGCTTTGAAACATCTCGAAGACATGATATGGCGCTATATCAAATGCACAGATTTATCTCGTCTCTATATTTTCTCACAAGTCCACATCGTCAGCCTTGCTCTGAACATGAAGAGAACTATAAGGATCTCCTGACTCCAATTTACTGCTCGTTGTAAATTAGTATCAGTAACTTTGCTCTGGAGACAATGAAAACAGCCACTGATATCTTCTTAGAGCAGTGGTGGCCAATCATTATGCCATAAATCAAGAAATATTCAATCAAGAAGAAAAACTGAAAAAACACTACTGATCGAACATGGATTTACGTAGATTTGTGCAAATGTTCAGGTGACCACTTCTTGACAGCCCCACAAGTCACCATTATCTTAAAGTAACAGGCTGTAAGGGACAGACCATAGATTTGTCTGTATTGGGACATGAACAATCTTGAGGACAAAATATGTGCAGCTATTGGAATGCACAGGACATATTGTATTAAAATGCCACTGAATTCTGTGCTTTTTTATTATACCTCTAATTTACCTAATCACATTATATCATCTGATCTTGTTTGTGAATGTAACCAAGAGAACATTGAGGACTGCTAATAAACATTGTCATTGAAGCCATATGTTTTCCTACGCATTACTTGTTACTGAATCCTGTTCATTTTTCCAACTGCCAGCAGAGTATATACACCACATTCATGCATATGCTTCCTACCATGACGATCCAGCCAACCCTCGCAGCTTACAAAATACATCTTACACTTATATAGTGCCTCTCATGGAGCTAAACATATCAAATCAATTCACCAAGACAGAGTGGGAGCCAGAACAGGGTGGGGCACAAAGGGAAATACTGAAGACGCATTGAAGGGGGTAGGGATTTGACTGTGCCTTCAGTCAACTTAATAATACTAAACTGTAACTGGTATAACCATGGTAACTCATATTAAGAAAAAAATGTGATAGCATGATTCTCCTGCAGATGGATTTTCTTGAAGCCACATGGTGTCAGAGTGGACCGGTGGCAGCTGAACAGGGAAAATGATCTATGTTTAAACTCATGGCTGGGCAGAAAGGAGGAAGAACGTTTACTGCAAATAACACGAGAAAGAGAGAGAGAGAGAGAACGCGCAAGTGGCAGTGAAGTGTAGGAAGTAGGCAGAAGCCAAGAAACTATAGAGGCAAAATTAAAGGTAGGAAAAACAGGAATAGGTTAGGGAACAGGGTAGAGATCAGTAGCCATAAATTCCTCATGGTTTAGCGTTAAGTCTGTTGGGACGTCCTCCCAACGTAAAAGGCACTATACAAATATAATGTTGTTGTGTCTTAAATGTAACATTGTGCACAATTTTGGAAAATTCTTAGATTGTCTTAACCATGAAATGTCAGCGGTGAAACTGAATCTAAGGCCATGAGAATAATAATCCTTGCATTTGATATAGCCCTTTTCAAATCTTCTAGATGTCTCAAAGCGCTTCACAGAATATACTGCAATGTGAATTGACTATATATTTGTAGGCGAAACGCGGCAGCCAATTGCGCACACCAGCGTCCCACAAACAGCGTCTAATCACTCTTGGATTGATTGACCAAATTATTATTATTTTTTTTTCTTGAGGGATTATTATCAGGCGTGTGGAGTAAGGAAACTTGCCCAAGGTTTTGCCTTGCTGGAATCGAACCCAGGACTCTCGCTTGTGAGGCAAGTGCTGTAACCGCTGAGCTACAGGAAAAATTCTGATCTCAGGAAAGAGATTGTGAAGAAAGGAGGGAAGAGGATAATGAGTGGGAAAAGACAAGGAGAGGGAGCACCTTTTCTTCAAGATATTCAACAGATTTGTTTTACCACAATATTTAATTACAATTGCCTCCTGATGGCGCTATACAAATGTAATTTGGTTGTTGCCTAATTTGTTTAACATGTGGAGATTAGCAGGGAGGCTATCAAAGACTTAAAGAGAAAGTGTAGAGAAAAGTACGAAATACTTAGGAAAGGTCTGACTGTGATCTGGCCAGACTGAGACATGCTTCAAGATGCAGTTGCATAAATCACAAGAGTTTGATGTGACCGGCATCTACCAACCGCCAAAATAAATATATTTGTCTCACCTGACTGAAAATTTTCCTCTGTGCATTTGTCATCACATTGTACATTGGAGACCTAAAGACAGAAATAGAGTCATCTTGAACATCAGGTGCGCCACATGGTGGCAGAATGAGATTGAAAAAGTAAACCCAGAACAATATTTTGCAACAAGTTAGTAAAACAAGAGGACATAGGTTCAGAGTTGCAAAGGGCCATCTCAGGACAGACACCAGTAAATATTTCTTTACCTAGAATGTAATTAACAATTGGAAAGAGTGATTAAGGCCAGGATTCTGGACTAGAACAAAAACAGCTTGACGGTGTGATGGGAGGTAAGGTGAGAATTCTGCAAGGATCAGATCAAATGGGCCGAAGGGCCTTCTTCATCCAAACCAATCTTGTGATTTTGTGTGAAGTTTGCTATATTTTATTGATCAATCAGCTCACATGTGCAAAAACCCAACAAGATTGCTTTAGCGTTTCCAAGTTAGACAGAGAATTCCACATATGCATTGAAATTTCCATGTGTCTGCAATGGAATACATATTCTCTCCCCAGAAGGATTCGCCCAGCTCATCAAAGTATTAGGTACAGTTTGGCAAGATCAAGAATTTGGGACCCTGGAGTATTGAGGTATTGCTGGAGTTCAACCAACTAAAACTGCATAACTTGCCATTGCGAGCACTTTCTGACAAGCTTTCTGTAGCTTCTCCAGCTAGGACCATTAAGGGATTTGGCTTACAGGGTTAACAGGAGCTGAGTGGCAAGAATACCTGGCCATAGTTTACTGCAAGGATTCAGCTATTGCTTTAATTTATAAAGCAACATAAACTGTAAAACGACCAATTAACGCCTTGACACATACTTTTATATCCGGTATACATCAGGGACCAACTCACGAGATTTTTACTGAGGGAACAACCATAGTTTAAAGAGGTTGATGTTACAACAACAACAATTTACTTTATATCATGCCCTTCACATCGGGAGGAGGTCTCCAAGCACTTTACACAGCTGATTGGGCACAGTTGATCTGGAACGTGGTCAAAAAGATAGGTCTTAAGCTGGGCTTTATAGGTGGGGAGGGAAGGGGAGAGGTAGGAGGGACTCTGGGATGGAATTCCAAAAAGTGCGGGGGGTGTAGAAAGCTGACCCACTGATAGGAGGCAGATTAGACAGGGGACACAAAACACGTCAGGGTTTGCTGTGTGAGGCTGGGGCAGTAGGAGGTCACAGAAGTAGGAGGGGGCGAGGATGCGGAGGGATTTGAATGTGAGAATGAGGATTTGGGATTATTGGGCAACCAATCGAGCCGAGTGAATATGGAGGCGATAGGTTTATGGAGCCTGGTGCTGGACAGGACAATAGCTGCAGAGTTCCTGGTTGTAAACCAGCATTATGGTCCTCAAAAAATGATTACAACTGGTGCTTGCTTGCTAAATCCAAAGCTACTAAATCTATTCTAATTCCATTCCCTGCTCTTTCCCTGTACCCTTTAAGGGTAATGATGAATTTACTAATTCCCTTTTAAATGCTGTTATAGATTTGGTTTCAACCGGGATAAAGCAGTCACATTTTAACAGCGCTTTTGGCAAATTCCATCATTCTGGTTATTTAATTTCCTGTTCAGAGTTTAAACCTACTTGCTGTTAATGAACCAGCACTGCAGCTCATTCAGTGGATCAAATCAATGAGTGTTGCTTAGATTTGTGATCTGCATGTATGTTGCAATTAGTCACTAAATCACACAGTATTTGTGTGCATCCAGCCTTTGTACAGGTCATGGGATTATGGGAAAGTTGATCCTTGTAGTGTGAAAAATGTGACGTTCCATAACTGATTTCACGTGATAATTATCACACTGAATCTGTTATGAATTGCTGTACTTTTTCATTCCTTTGTGTGGTTAGAATCTGAAATCCCATTAACCTTACACATTGTGGAATGAACTAAACTGCACATATAGCGTCAGCCCCTATTAATCTTCAATACGCAGTGGAGCCAAATTACAAAATAAGTTCAAACTGTATTTTATCTGGTGACTGTTTGAATTAACTATCAATTGCGTTCTAACAATTGCCTAGATTCGCAGTTAAATGCCCACCCCATTAACTCCAATCCAGTTTGTGAATGATGTCAGTGATCACAGAACGATTTTGCGAGGGCTACAGCTACAGCACAAGCAGAGAGGAGATTCATTCTGAAGAATTAATTTTGATTTATTTCTTTTCTGAAGGATGATTAGCATACTCGTATTCCTGAAGTGAACCTGCTAATAAAAACCTCCCACAAAAAATAAATCTGCTTCAGCATTTGCTCAGTGCTTGGTTGATTTTTATTGCCTCATACCTGCAAGAGCAATATATTTTATCATTTGAAACTTAATCAAGTGTTAAAGTGTTTGGGTAAACAGCATATTGCTCAATACTTTGTTGCCTGTTAAAAAGTCATTTCCAGAACAGACAGCTAATACAAATGATAGGCACTGACAAAACACACTTTTATTAAGAAAATTGATTTTTTTTAAACAAATTCTACATGTTTTAGATTTTTAATAAGAAATACATGCAAAACAACTGATAGTCTGAAAGAAACGGCCTCTTTAAAAATAAATGAATTAACCTCATATGTGAATTTTCAAGGTTATTTCTTCTTAAACTAGAACACATTTCATGGGGTGAAAACTGAGATTGCGATATGTTCATTGTCATCAGTGATAACAGATAAATGTGGTCCAAACACAAAAAGTGTGTAATTGAGTTTTAAATCGCTGCACAATTTCGATATAATACACCTTTTTAAGTTTGTAGACTATTACTTGGAATGGCCTTAGTAATAATACTATTATATTTTATAAAACTACTACCTACATTCGCCTACAAAATACTGGTCACTGCACTTCACAGCAATGTATTCTGTGAAACGCTTTGAGACATCCTGATGACGTGAAAGCAGCTATAATACTAATAATAATCCTTGCATTTGATATAACACTTTTCAAGTCTTCTAGACATCTCAAAGTGTTTCACAGAATGCATTGTAGAGTGAATTGACTGTATATTTGTGGGTGAAACATGGCAGCCAATTGCGCACAGCAATTTATATCATATGCAAGGACTATTCTTATTACCTCCAGGAGTTATATGATTTATAGAAGTTGCAGCAGTTCAAAAGAGTTCAAAGTCCTGCTGATATGACACTGCAAAGTGTGGCTTACTCTAGGATTCTTCTCCCCCTGCCAAGACACCCAAAGTCTATGCAGAGCGCTTCGGCCCTAGCTGGCTTTTATCTGGTCTTTGGTGGGTTGAGTGCTCATTGAATGTGTGAAATATTTTTACATAGATTTCTGTAGATTGTATTGCACAGAAACAGGCCATTCAGCCCAACTAGTCCATGCCGATGTTTATACTCTACATGATTCTCCACCCACTCCTTGCTCCAACTCATATCCTTCTTTCGCTGGCCTGTATGGACCTGCCAAAGATCGGGAAAGATCCAGAGGCAGCTAGAAATAATAGTTGTGAATTTCAACTCAGAAATAACTCTAGTATATCTAGATTGTTGCCACTGGCCCTGTGGAATCTGCTTGTGGCTTAAATAGGATAAATTTCACAGCATTGGGTTATTACAAAGCCATTTCTAGTTAAATAGGACTTTGTTACAAACATACCATGAGATACACTACGAGGAGCGTATTTGACTTTCATTCTTTAATAGCCAGTAGAAATAATAAATTGCCAAAGAGCTTTGAGATGTTTTGATGCATAAAGCAGCATGAAAAATGCATATTCTTTCTTTCTAACTCAGTTCAATCAATGCATCAAAGGAAACATTCTGGGTAGGACATGTTGGCTGGACTCCTGACAATTAAAACTAGATTGAGTGCAGATCCCTCACTTTGCCACCTGACTTTCTCTGCTGCTGCAGGTGATAGCAATTGAAGAGGTTACAACTCACAAAGCCTCAAATGGACAATGTTGACTGAAGCACAGACTTTGCCAGGAGTATAATGAGTTTAATGGAGAGCTGCATTGCTGAAATCTAATTGCTAAGTAATTGAAGAATGACTGCAGCAGCTTCTACATGGGCAATAGGGACAGTAGTAATTAGGTGGGACGAGAATAGGAGATTAGTATCGTTTCACTGTTTAAACTCCAATTAAAGATCTCTGACTGAAGATTTCACAGATATATCAGCAATGTTAAATGCAGTATAACTAAGGGCACATTTAAGGTCATCAACAAAAAAGAGAGGGGTTGGGAATTTTTTTGAACACAGAGGGTTATTAGGACACTGAATGTCCAAAAGCTGGAGATGGTGCAGAATCCCTTGTAGCTTTTAAAAAGGAATTGAACATATATTTCAAAAAAGAAAAAATATTAAAGGGTGTGGAGAAAGGGGAATGGGATTAAATATATAGATCTTTTAGAGGACCAGCACAGCACATTGGGCCGAGCGAGTTTCCTCCTTCTGTGCTGTAAAATTATATGATTCTACAATAGAAATTGCAACAATTATTGAGAAAAAGCAATAACAAAACCTCATTAGCGATATAACAAGACAGCAGGACAAGAGGACACAGGTTCAAAGGGTGAATTGCAATTTTAGAATAGACACCAGGAAGACATGACATAGACACGATGGACCAAATGGCTTCCTTCTGTGTTGTATAATCCTATAAAGTATTTATTTACAAAGAAGACAATGAACAGCTGGAATAGGTTACCAGGAAGAGGCTAGGATCCTGGACTCATTCAAGAGACTGAGCTGATTTTGTCAATCATTATAGGATGAAGAGCACAACCTTGTTGCAACCACACATTTTAATATTAAACACAATCCAGAATGATTAATTAAAATCTTACCTGTTTATTGTTGTCATTGCACAATTTCTTGATGGAGACAAAATGCCTAATTTTCCTATTCACGGAACACAAAAGTGCAGTTACACTCAAGAGGGCATCAGACAGACATCAGTCTGCAATAGACAAATATCTACAAGCAGCACAAGAGGGTAGGAATAAAGCTTCTTCAACTGGTTCTTAACACAACACACTTTAAATAATTCACTAAACCCTGCATTGTCCCATCTTCCACTCCACGGGCCACACTGTACAAATATCAAATCTGTCTTTAACATAATAATAATGATAATAACAAAAAGAATACATTCGTACAGCGCCTTTCACGTCAGGTGGATGTCCCAAGGCGCCGGACAGAGTACAGCATTTCATGGTGGCTGATGGCATGGTCAAAGAGGAAGGTCTTGAGGCGGGACTTGAAGGAGGCTAAGGAGGAGGCGAGGTGGAGTGACTGGGGGATGGAATCCCAGAGATTGGGGGTAGAGTGGCTGAAGGCCACTCTCACCAACGGTGGGGTGGGTGGGTCGGGGGACGTGGAGCAGCCCGGAGCCGGCTGAGTGGAGGGAGCGGTCGGGTTGGTAGGGTGTTTGGAGGTCGCAGAGGTAGGGTGGGGCGAGGCCATGGAGGGCTTTGTAGGTGAGGACCAGGATCATGAACTGGATCCTCTGAAGGATAGGGAGCCAATGAAGTCGGGCGAGAGTTGGGGAGATGGGGTCATGGAGTTTGCTGCGGGAGCGGACACGGGCTGCAGAGTTCTGGATTATCTGCAGCCTGTGAAGGGAGGAATTGGGAAGGCCGACAAGCAGGGCATTTTCATAGTCGAGCCTGGAGTTGATGAAGGCATGAACAAGAGTTTCAGCGGCCTGAGGGGTGCGGTAGTGGCGGTGAGTTGTAGTGTGCAACCATGGAGATTGATGCTACCAGAACCTGAGATGCAGAGGTGCTGGCGCGAGCTAATCAGGAGGTCCTCAGTCTTGTTTACATTCAACTGTAGGAAATTTGCCCTCATCCAGGACTTGATGTTCGATAGGCAGTCCGTCAGGACAGCAGTGGTCCTGGAGTTGAGGGTGGAGGCAGAAAGATAGAGTTGGGTGTCATCCGCGTACATGTGGAAGTTGACCCCATGTCTGCGGATGATGTCACCATGTAGATATTAAAGAAGAGAGGGCCAAGGACAGAGATCTGGGGGATGCCTGATGTGACACTGCGGGGGCTGGAGGAGAAACCATTAGAGGCAACAAAGTGCAGACAGTGAGAGAGATAGGAATCGAACCAGGCAAGGGCAGATCCGTGAAGATTGAGTAAAGCGGATAGGTGGTGTATGAGGAATAAATAATAAATAATAATCCTTGCATTTGATAGAGTGCCTTAGCACATGTCGAGACATCTCAAAGCACTTCACAGAATATACTTTAAAGTGCATTGACTGTATTTTGTGGGCAAAATATCTTTCTAAATTGAGGCTTATGGACCTCCTGTTGCTAAGTGGTCTGGAGACCTGTCCATTGGTGACACTGTGAGTGAATATTAAGAGACGTGAAGCAGCAAAGTGGAGATGCCATCCCTTCTCCACAGCTGCAATTGCAAAGATCAGCAACTCTGCACTGTGGGACAGTCAAGGCTGCCTTTGCCTTGATACAAGGGGATTGTGCTCCAATGAACTGCAGTTGCTTCAATACCCTGGCTACATTAGGTTGCTCTTTGCTTGAAAAAATATAAGATCTTTGGAAGGGGATGCATTTTATTTCTCAATGGTATATCTTTACATATGTCCTATTATTATTATTATTGACCTGTGATGTGTTTCTGCTTTAACAGTTAGAATTAGTTCATCAAAATTACATTAAAATGAATTAAACTCAGGTTTAAAATGCAATGTTGATAAATAACAACATCTCATTTGAAGGATGACACCTGCAATGATGAATACTGCACTGGAGTGTCAGAGTAGGCCAGTGGTGGACAATCTTTTTCGTCGGTCAACAAAATAAATGTTCATGATAGAATATTTCTTGAATTATGCCATAAATTAAGAAATATTCAATCAAGAAAAACTTGGAATCACACTACCATTCAACATGGATTTACCTAGACTTGTGTGAATGTTCATGTGTGTGGGTGGGGGGGGCAAGGGTGCTTCTTGACAGCCATGTGGGCAATAATTTGGCCGGCACTGGCTTGGACTATGTTAGTTTAAAGTACCAATATGGGACTTGAACCAACAACCTTCTGACTCAAAGATGAGAGTGTTACTAACCAAGTGAAGCACCAATTTTATAGCATTTTCTGAAACCAGCCTTTTGTAGCCTTTAATAACTCTATAGACATGGGGAGAGAGGGCATCTTTGTTTTTCTCAAGCTCCTATTCTATTTTTTTTCCATATTGATGCTGGCATTAAAAAAATTAGCACTAGTGAGATCTAACATGTGCCGTTTGCTAAATCCAATGAACCTTTTGTTCTATACATTAACAGTACAGAAGGTTCACCAGCATAATCAAACAGCATGCATTAGACCTTAATGTTAGCTAGAAAATACATGATACATGATGGGAGTAAGTGTGTCAGATAGTTTATAGGACACACCACAGAGGAGATGATTTTAATTTACTTAGCAGGGCAGGGCAAAATTTCACAAATTGACAGTGCTACTTAAAACTGCTCCAGAAATTATAACAGAATTTAGGTTTTTTACCTTCTTGCTACACTACCACATTTTTCAAATTTTTCTATGTTGTATAAATCGATCCTGCAACTGGTTAGAAAAAATGTAACTGGGTTGTTTCAACAAGAAAACCCCATCATTGCGGTCAGGCTTTTAGCATTTCTGCCCCTGTTCACTGGAATGCATTCAACAACAACAACAAAATTACATTTATAGAGCACCTTTCACGTCGGGAGGACGTTCCAATGTGCTGGACAGTCAGGAGTCAGGACCCGAGCATGGGGGAGGAGTGGGGTAGGGGTGAGGGAAGGCAGAGAGGTGGGAGGGTGACTGAAGGCATGATCGAAGAGAAAAGTCTTGAGACCGGCCTTGAAGGAGACAAGGGAGGAAGCGAGGTGAAGGGTCTGTGGGATGGAGTTTCAGAGTGTGGAGGCAGAGAGGCTGAAAGCCCGGCCACCGATGGTAGGGCGGGTCGGGCGGGAGACATGGAGCAGACCGGAGCCCGCTGAACCGAGGGGAACGGGCAGGTTGGTAGGGAGTCAGCAGGTCAGAGAGGTAGGAGGGGGCAAGGCTATGGATGGCCTTGAAAGTCTTGAATTTGATCCTCTGAGGGATGGGGAGCCAGTGGAGTCGGGCGAGGGTGGGAATGATGGGGTCACGGAACCTGGTGCACGAGAGTACACGAGCTGCAGAGTTTTGGATGATTTGGAGCTTTGGAGTACACGAGCTGCAGAGTTCTGCAGCATTCTCGGATTCCCTACAATTCATCCCTTCAACAACAACAAATTACATTTGTGTAGTGCTTTTCACATCGGAGGTGATGTCCCAAGGGGCTGGACAGTCAGGGACTTGGACTCGAGCTGGGGATTGGGATGAGGAGGGGTGGAGGGCAGGGAGTGTAGGAGGGTGATCCAAGGTGCAGTCGAAGAGGAGGGTCTTGAGACATGCCTAGAAGGAGGCAAGGGAGGGAGCGAGGCAAAGGGACTGTGGATGGAGCTCCAAAGGATGGGGGCAGAGATGGGGGCCAATAGTGGGGTGGGCCAGGCAGGGTATGTGGAGCAGGCTGCTGATCAGAGGGAGCGAACAGGTTGATATGACGTTAGCAGATCATAGAGCTAGGAAGAAGAAGGCCGTGGAGGGCTTTGAAGGCGACAACGAGGATTTTGAACTCTATCCTCTGGGGGATGGGGAGCCAGTGGAGCCAGGCAAGGGTGGGGGTAATGGGGTCACGGAGCCTGGTGCGGGAGAGAACAGCATCTGCAGATTTCTGGATGGTCTGCAGCTTGTGGAGGGAAGAGTTGGGAAGGCTGACAAGCAGGGAGTTGGCGTAGTTGAGCCTAGGTGTGATGAGGGTTTCGGTGTCCTGAGGGGAGAGGAAGTGGCGGAGCTGGGCTATATTGCGGAGGTGGGGGAACGCAGAGTGGGTCATGGCATGGGTGTGAGGTAGAAAGTACAGTTAAGGATCAAACATGATGCCAAGGTTTCGGACTGGCTCAGTGAGGTTGATTGTGCATCCTTGGATGGTGATGCTGTCAGTCCCTGAAGTGTGGAGAAGCTGATGGGAACAAATCAGGAGAGCTTCGGTCTTGTTGACGTTCAACTGGAGAAACTTAGCTCTCATCCAGGACTTGATATCTGACAGACATTCTGTCAGAACAGCAGTAGTCCTGGAGTCGAGGGTGGAGGCAGAGAGATAGAGTTGGAGTCCTGTAGCTCAGTGGTTAGAGTACTCGCCTTCCAAGCGAGACACCTAGGATCAATTCCAGGCAGGGCGAAACCTTGGGCAAGTTTCCTTACTCCACACACCTAATAATAATCCCTCCAAAACAAAAAACAATAATAAATTGGTCATTTTTAATCCACGACTGTTTGTGGGACATTGCTGTGCGCAATTGGCTGCCACGTTTTGCCCACAAATATATAGTCAATTCACTTTACAGTCTATTCTGTGAAGCACTTTGAGACATCGAGAAGACGTGAAAAGCGGTTTATCAAATACCAGGATTATTATTATTATTATTGTTATTATTATTATACAGTTGAGTATCATCCGCATACATGTGGAGAGGACAGAGCGAAGCTGGGAAGCAACCACTCGGACCTTGGAAGGAAGTTGGAGATGGAGAGGTAATTTGAGAGCAGGAATGGGTCCAGGGAAGGTTTTTTGAGATTGGGGTTACAACGGCTGTTTTTAAGGGGGTGGGAACGGTACCGGTGGGAAAGGAGAGGTTGATGATGTCCGTGAGTAGAGGGGGAAGCAAGGAGCTGGGAGGAAAGGAGAGGGGTAGGGATGGGGTCAAGGAAGCAGGTGTTGGGTTTCACATGGGTAATAATGGTGATGAGAGAGGAGAGGAAGACAAGTTTGAAGGTGTGGTGGGAGGGATGGGTAGGGGCCAGAGTGTGAGGGGAGGTGGGGATGGGTTAGAAGTTGGTTCCTTCAAAGCCTGCCTCAAGACCTACCTCTTTGACATTGCCTTCGGTCATCTCCGTTCCCCCCCCCCCCCTACTTCCCTCCTGGCATTGATCCTCTGGGCTCCCAGCAGTAGCTCAGGCGCAAAGCCTGGACAGATACCGAGTGACCTGCTGTCAAGTTTCCTCACAGAATACTCCTTCTTTCTCCAGTGCAAACCTCCTCTAAGTCCTTCAACCCCCTCCCAACCCTACCTCTGCAACCTCCCGATCTGGCCGTTCCCTTTGCCCAGCAAACACCGCTTACCTCATGTTCCCCCACCCCATCTGCCCCATCATTGCCATTTTGCCTCCACTCTCTGCAGCTCCACTCCCTCCCTCACTCCCTCCCTCCCATCTTTCAAGGCACATCAAGTTATAATTCTTTTGGTCATCTTTTCCCCTCTGCATCACACCTCCCTCGACAGCTTGGGTGACAGTGTCGAGCAGTTTAAATATTGTTATGTTTCTATAAGGGAAACACAAAATATCACTTATGCGGCCCATGGATGTTTTTCAAATAGGAAATCCAGCCCTCGGCAGCCAAAAGGTTGGACCATCTTATAGCCCATTATAAGCTTGTATCTATGGTCTAGAAGGAGCTGGATTGATGGGCGGAATGGGCTTGCCTTATTGCATGCTGATTCTTATGTTTTTACATGAAAAGTGGGCAAACCAACATGTCCCTTTTTATAATTTTGTTTCTTTGAAGTGGAAGAAAATATGCAACCGTGTCATAATTGAACACTGGCACTGAACCCAATATTGACTGACTGCAACACTGCAGGAACACATAACACAGTTACAAGTGTTGCAATTGGACTAGTAACATCAGATCTGGCCTTCGTTCTTTTTATCTACCAGTGTACAACGATGTGTCCAAACACATAACCACAGGATGAAGATAACACTTAATACTTAAGATTAATGTAATAAGGATAATACAATAATTTGTGGCCTTGTGTTATCACTTGAATAAAAATGAGCCCATTGAATAGAGATACAAAGTTTTCTTTCAGGCTTTGCCGGATTAAGATGTTTTGTGGGTTTATTATCAATAAGTAGAATTTTGATACTGATATCAGAAAATAAAATGTTCTTGGCTTCTGATACATGAAAGATCAAAGCAAACCAAAGAGCTGTTGTTCCCCCTTAGTTAACCTCACTTTCTACAACAACAAATTCTAGTACTTACCCTCCCTGGCCTATTACAGGTGTAATCTTTACATCTTGCTGAATACTGTCTCCTGCTTTCCTTCTTGCAAAATAAATCCCTTGCCATTCCTGTAAAATGAGTCAAGATCAGTCCCTAATTATTGAATGTCTCAGCATTTGTTTTTCATACCACATTCACAGAAATAACATAAAAACATACACTACAGAGAATCAGGTAAGCTGACATTTCTGCAGTTTCATGAGCAAATGACTTTAATATGTATATTAAGGTTAGAACTGTTTTTCCAACTGAAAATTGGCATGCAATTGATGGACACAAGCAACAACAATAAGAAAAAACAGCAAATTATATTTATATACCAGATTTCATGTCTTGAGGGTTTACACATGAACTGGGGTTGGATTAGTGGAGTGGGTGGGGGTCAAGGGGGTGGAGGTGGGGATGTAATGATGACTGAAGATGCAGTCAAAGTGGAAGGTCGTGAGACAGATCTTGATGGAAGTGAGGGAAGGAGTGAGGTGGAGGGACTCCAGAATGGAGTTCCAGAGGGTGGGGCAGAAAGCCCGACCACCGATAGTGTTGTGGGCAGGGCGGGGAATGTGAAGCAGGCCTGTGGCTGCCAAGCAGAGGGAGCATGCGGGGTGGTACGGTTTTAGAAGGTTGCAGAGGTAGTGTGGGACAAGACCATGGAGGGATTTAAGAGTGAGGACGAGGATCTTGAATTTGGCCATCTGGGAGATAGGGAGCCAGTGGAGCTGGCGAGGGTGGGTTGATAGGGTCATGGAGCCTTGTATGAGAAATACACGAGCTGTGGCGTACTGGATGATCTGCAGCTTGTGGAGGGAAGAGTTGGGAAATCCGGCGACCAGGGAGATGGCATTGTTTGACACACTGATGGACAATGACAGTGACACACATTGACGGAAACTTAACAGTGATACACTGAAGAACACTGGCCATGACACACGTTGTTGGTCACTGCCTGTAATACATGGATTCTGGCAGGAGTTAGCCATAGGCATGAACTGATATCTGAACTCATCTAAATCTCAAAACTGAATCAATCTTAGCCAGGTTCAAACCTGTGACTTTCTATTTCCAAGAATGATGGAAAATTTACCAAATTTCCACTCAAACCAATACTTTTGTGAGCAGTTGAATACTCCTCATGACCTGGATTTGAAGCTAACTATATCAATGACACGCAAATTAAATGAAACACTCACCTTTCCTTTCTTAATACACATGTTTATTGTATCAAGGAGGTCCGCTTTATTTTTGTCGCTTTTGGGTAATTCAGTAAGTTCTTTGCCAATCAGTTCCCCCTTATGGTAACCCATCATACGTTCAAATGCTGGGTTGACATACTGCAAAGCAAATCAAAGATTAAATTAATTTTCTGGTCAAATCCCTTTCTTCTTCAGTTTCCTATTCCCCCATCATACAGTGAAAGCCTGAAAACTGGACTTACCAGGATATTGATCTGCACATCTGGCTTTCTGTTGATTCGTTAATAAATATCTTAATTTTAATATTCAGTTCTTTGATAGTATATGCTCTGGCTAAAAGCAAAACTACTCTGAAAAAGTGTTTCCTGATGTTAAGTGGGTATATGCAGCTTAGCTTAGTTGGCAGTACTCCTGTCTGTAGGTTAGACTCCTGCCCCAGGCCAGGACTTTGAGCTCACAGTCTAAGATGACATTTCAGTGAGTACTGGAGATTGCTGCAATATTGGAGGTGCCATCCTTCAGGCATGAGGCATTGAACTGAGATCCCATCTGACTGTTCAGGTGGACAATGCAGATCCCATACACTATTTGAAAAGCAAAGGGAATTTTTCATGGTGTTCTGGCTAACAATACTTCACATAATTTAGTCATTCATTTCATGGCTGTTTGTGGAACCTTGTTGTGTATAAATTGGCTGCTGTGTTTGCCAATAAATACACAGTAAATATACTTGACTGAAATTACCTTACTTGCCTTCTTCAAGGCCCATCTCAAGACACTCCTCTTTGACCGTTATCTTCCCACCACCCTCCTATGTCCACCACCCCTTTTGATTCCAAACCCCAGCTCAGGTGCCAACCCTTGGCAGTCTAGCAGTTTGGGACATCCTCCTGATATGAAAGGCGCTATGTAAATGCAATTTGTTATTTTTGTTGCTACAGCTGGGCTCAGTGACCCTATGTTAAAGAGGAAAATAATACCTGGAGAAACCAATTTCTGATTGCCATCTAGTCATCTCCTGAGAAAGTGGTTATGTGGAAACATTGGTGAGGACTACATCATTATCAGCTATCTAGTGCTTGCAGTCTAACACTTGTGATCCATAAATTATAGCAAACTATCACGTCATGTAAAATTTGAGCATGTTAGTGATTGGCAAACGTTAGACATCTCATCCATTTTCTTCACCCATACTTACACCCTACTGACTGGGCACAAAGATGAAAAGCCAAGTAAGAAAGGTAATTCCTGTTTGTAGGATATTGCTGTGTGCGATTTGGCTGCCGTGTTTGCCTACAAAAATACTTGACAGTAAATTCTGTGAAGTTCTTTGAGATGTCCTACTGACGTGCAAGACCCTATATCAAATGCAAGGATTTTTATTATTGTTGGAGATCTCCTGCCAACCAGGAAAAGACAACAACAGAAAGATGAAGCATTCAGGATTTGGTAGTTCTCATTTAAAGTTAATTTGAAACTGTTACAACAGACCTAGTACTGAACTATTTTTAGTAGATCATTTGAAGGAGCGGATTAGTTTACAACTAGCTTGTATTTGCACTACTGCTTCCAATCAAATAGTGTTATATAAAAACTCTTAGAAATAGCAATAAAAAGCAGACTTTGACTTGGTTTTATTACATTGGCGAGGCACGATTTGTAAGGATTGCTGCAATGAGCGGCACTCTGCAGTGCACTCCAAACAGATGGAAGGTAAGTAAACATGTATCCACATGTAGTCACTGGAAAAACGAATGCTAAGCTGCACTGATTTACAAACCACCAAGTCCCTTAACATCTGTCACCGAAATAGTTTCCGAGCTGTGGATCACATTATCCTATAACAGGATGACATTTGGAGAGTGATAAGGCACAGTAAAGCAGACATGATGTTTAGGAGAAAATAATGGATATTGATGAAAAATTATGTAACAAAAATTCTGAATTGTGTTTTGGGATTTGTTATTTCACAACTGGTTTGTAAAAACACTGCAACGGAACAAATACTTCCCTTTCATTTTGTCAACAGCTTCACCAGCATCAGGCACCCTGACGTGAGACATAGTAAGGTGAAATGAAGAGCACAGCTTTGTTGATTTTGTCCGAACAAATGGGTACAAATTCTACCAAGGTCTAGATGTAGCATTTTAGAGCATCCAGCATTTGGCAAATTTTTATATGCAGTCTTAATTTTGATGCAGTTTTTCTGGATGTTCTTTTAATGATGACAGAAAAACGACTTCTAAGTTCAGACTAAATTCAACTATTTTGCCAAATTCTGCTTGCTCTGATATGCTAAGAAAATAGTCAGTCTTGACCCAGATGGAATTTCTTTCCCCAATGTGTCTCAATGTGCCTTGTTTTAGTTTTTTGTGTTGAATGTTTTGTGGCAATAGTTGTGTTCTAGCAACCCAAAAGCCTTTGTGAATGAGATTGTAGGTTCAGTACTGATAGCTCTTAATTTTTTGTGTTTTTGTCTCGTACCTGGAAGTACATTGCAGGATGTCTTCTCCTACACCATCTCTTACTAGTTGTTTTTTTTATCTGAACCTACCAGAAAAGGGAACCATCAGACTTTAGACCATTACAGCAGAAAGGAGAGAATTTTAACCCATTAGATCTGGCTGTGATTCAAAGCCGGATGTGAGAGGTGGAAGTCCCACATTCCAGTTTTCTTTTCCAAATTGCTAGAAGCGCTGTCTATTAATTGTGCTTCTACATTTACTTAATTTTAATGGAGATGATTGAGAACTTTCTAAATGTAATAGTAATAATAATAATTTCATTTGGTGTAGTACCTTTCGGGTCAGAAGAACTTCACATGATATACTGTAAAGAGCAGTGATTGTGTTTTTGTGGGCATATGCAACAGCCAATTATAGAGTTTTAAATGTTACAGGTTACCAGTGCAAATATTTGGTGTTAGACTACATCCTAGAGTTGCTTTCCAAAATGACCTAAATATGGGCTTGCAAAACTGCATTGAAAACATCAGTTTGTCATGAAACAGACACTTAATTGTTGCAAACATCAAGTAACACTGGCTCATCAGTTCATGTCTAACCATGAGTTGTATCCATTAGTGATGCTGGGTTACCTGTATGACATGGTCCTCACTTGTGATCTCTATTGCCTCTTGGCAGTGCTCCAGAGCTGTGAAGATTGAGTTACATGCCCTGCAAAAAGGATCAGAGTAAATATAAACATTTGAGTAAAATGTACAATTTTACTGAACAAGATCTACTTGAATGTTGTTCACATACAAACTGCAGTTAAGGTAAAGTTGAAACATGAAATGAAAAAAGAGAGTATATGTTTTAAAAATATTCTCCTATTTCAGTGTTAGGCTGCTCTGGTGATAATAATGATACCAAATGGGAAAAGCAACACGTATCCTAGAGAGACACTCAATTTATTTAGCAGGCACATTTCTCCCATAAAATACACCGTCAATCCACTTTACAATATGTTCCCAAATGTATTCAATATAAACTTAATTTATTGATATACACAGGCACTTCCCATTTTCTGGAGCTAATAAATAAATCCTGTAAAGAGCTTTGAGATGTCTCAATGATGTGACAAGGCACTATATTAAATGCAACGATTATTATTATTATTAGATCTGAAGTACTAGCCTGAGAGCTCATGCACATTGCCTTAGCGTGGGAAAGAGTAGTACCCGTGAGCAGCAAGCAATACCTGGCTGGGACCCACCTTTTCCAGGGCGTTTGCTCTACATTTAGCTCCAGAGAATGGCAAGTTCCTGTCCATACCAATAAGTGTATATTGAATACATTCAGGAACATTAACACCAAAAAACCCTCTAATATTACAATAGAAAGATTGTTGTCAGGGAACAAGTTTAAATCCTAAGGAATCCAAAAGAAACTAAATAACAGGAGATGGTATAGACAGTATTTCTGGGGGTCAGCTGGGTGTCTGACACATGTAGAAACTATCACTATACTCAAGAATATCCAAATCAAACTGAGAGTTCCATGCATCCCATCTAACAATGGTGGAGCCTGATGCCGAGCCAGGGGGGCGGGGAAGGTGACCATAGACACGGTCGAAGAGCAAGGTCTTCAGACGCAACCTAAAATGGGGAAAGAGGAGGCAAGGCAAAGGGGTTGAGGGAGGGAATTCCATGGCTTCAGGGTGTAGTGGTTGAAGGCATGGCTACCGATGGTGGAGCGGAGAATTTGGGGGACAAGCTGGAGCCAGTAGAGCGGATCCAGCAGGTAGGACTGTAAGGAGAGAGGAGGTTAGAGAGATAGGGTGGTGCCAAGGTGTGGAGGGATTTAAACACTAGAGTGAGATCTTGAAGTCTATCCACTCAGTGACAGGGAGCCAGTGGAGTTTGGCAAGGACTGGGGTAATCGGGGTGCGGAGTTTAGTGCGTTTGAGAATGCAGGCGGTGGAGTTTTGGATGAGTTGAATTTTGTGAACAGAGGAGGAGAAGAGACCGGCGAGGTGGGCATTAGAGTAGATCAGCCGAGAGGTGACAAAGGCGTGAACAAGGGTTTCGGCAGCTTGGGGGGTGAGGTATTGTCAGAGACAGGCAATGTGGTGGAGGTGGAGTATGGCTTCCGTCTTGTTGATGTTTAACTGCAAGATATTTGCACTCATCCAAGCTTTGATATCTGTCAGACAAGCTGACAGAACATCAGGGGATTGGGGGTTGCAGCTGGAGGAGGAAAAGTAGAGTTGAGTGTCATCCGCATACATGTGGAAGTTAACCCCATGTCTGCGGATGACATCACTGAGAGGGAACATATAGAAGAGGAAGAGAAGGGATACCCCGCAGGTGACCGGGTGGAGGCGAGAATAAAAACGATTTGCGGAAATGTAGTGCTGGCGGTTTGTAAGATAGGACTCGAACCAAGTGAGTGCGGTCTCACTGAGGTGGATGATGGAGGACAAGTGGTGGAGGAAGATGGCGTGATCGACTGTGTCAAACAAGATGGAGAGGTCCAGGAGGACAAGGAGGCAGAGGGAGCCCTGGCCATAGATAGAGAGAGCATCGTTTATGACTTTCACGAGCACTCTCTGTATTTTGGGCAGGGTGGAAACCGGACTGGAGTGGTTCGAGTAGGGAGTGGAGGGAGAGGTGTGTGTGGTTGGTTGGCAACAATGCGTTCCAGAGCTTTGGCCAGGAAGGGCAGGCTTGAGATAGGGCAGTAGTGCCCAAGGTTGGAGGGGTCAAGGGTAGGTTTTTTAAGGAGGGGGGTGATGACAGCAGTTTTGAGGGGGCATGGGACTGATCCTGAGGAGAGGAACTGATTAACGGTGTCTACCAACATTGGGTAGAGGAGGGGGAGCTGGGTGATCAGCAGCTGTGTGGGGAGGGGGGTCGAGGCAGCAGGTGGTGGGTTTCATGAAATTACATCTATGAGAATTTTTACCATGCCATTTAACATTCAACAATGAATTTGTGCCATATTTAAGAAGACCCATCTGATTCCAAACATACACAAATGGATTCACAGAATCGATGTAATATGGTTAACTTGGCAGATACTGTCAAGCTATGCTATGGATCTGAGGAAGTAGAATAGCAGCAACAATCTTACAAACAGAGCTCAAAGATGTATGCAAATGGATGATCACTGGGAAATTAAGTTCAATCCAGTTAAGGGAAAACTGTTGCATATTGGAAGTAAACTAGATATTGTTTTGTTGTTTGTGATTGTACAAAATAAATTTTACCAACAGGTTTGGCATAAAGTACCATCTTTACAATTGTTTGGTGTCACAACAACATAACATAGAGCTGAAGTCAATTTCATTTTCTTTATTGACTTATATTCGTAAACAACGACGCATTATTAATATACGTACCGCAGTTTGAATTGAGACCGCACGTTTCCATGCTCTAACTGGATCAGTTCATTGTAGCACACAATTAGGCTGGCGTTTTCTATATACCGCTATAGATAGAAGAAAAATAACATAATGCCATTAGAATTTTCCAAAGCAAGATTTGGTTTTGAGCAAGATTTGGTTTTGAGCACTGATGTACAAATTAATCTAGACTCAGCAATTTGTGGCAAATAAGTCTAATGGGGATAAATCTGGGTTTTGAGGCTTTATCGATTGTTTAAACATAAGGGATAATGAAAACTTTCAAAACCACAAGGGTTCTATTGACTGAGTCTCTCTTCACACTTTTCCAAAGGAGCATTAACATAATCTGATCTAATTCAGACTGACTGCTGTGGTTAAGTGGATCTGAGTATTCAGAAGAAACTGATTCATGTAACAAATATTTGGTGTTGGAGGTTACTTTTTCTTATTAATTTATTGCAGTAATAGTCAATCCTATTAAAAAGCACCTTTAAAGGTTTAAAAAGTTTAGATATCTGAGCACAAGAAAAGTGACAAGCCTCCCAAAACACTGCAAAAATGAGCTTCTTTGAAATATAGTAACTATTGATATGTAGGTGAATGCAGAAGATAATCTGTGCCAGCATTGCCCCAGAAGCAGAAATGATGTGGTTGGCCAATTAAGTGAAAACTCACAAATAAAATCATTAAAAGGACTGCGGAATACTGACTGCATTAGCGGATTGACCTCATCAGTCAGGTTGTATTACTGTATGACATATACGTTTTATGTAAATCGATGTTTATTTTTTCTGATTTGACAGGTAATGGACAACTATTTTTAAGTTTTTTATTTTTACCTTTTTAAATTCTTTTTCAAAACCAATCTTCACACTTGGAGAACACAAAACCAGACAAAGGGATAATCGTAATAATTTATTCACATATATTATCTGTATAAAGTTACGAGTTCAACAAGCTTTGATGTAATTTAGTTAAGTAGCAATTTCATGTCATGTCGCCTTATTAATAGTAATTTGTAACCGACCATTTCATTAGTTTGTAGACAAGTCAGGAAAATTATTATCTTATGTACACAAGTAAGGAGCCATGTTATTTAAGCAGTCATTGATAGTAATGTGTAAACAACAATTTCATTGTTATGCAGAGAAGTAAAGAGCCATTTCATGTTGTGCTTTCATTACTTTAATCATTGAACCCCATAAGAAAAGCATTTCTGTATCCAAAAGTTTAGAGCTTTACATATATTGATGGAAATAAATGTACGTAGTAATATATCAATGTCTATTTATTTTTAAAATCTAAAACACTTTACCTTCAACACTGTAAACACCCTGAGTAATGTTTAAATAAAATAATGCAACAAAGCAGTATAAATATTGTTATGCAACATGAATGACAAAGACATTCCTTACCCTATTGAACCCTGCATTAAGGAGAGGCAAGACTGAGGTCTCCTCCTGATCATTAGATCTGCAGGAGGAAAGACACAATGATGAATAGCTACGATTACTCTTGGATTAAAGACGCAATCAGGTGTACCCTACCAATACCCTACTCAGCAAGAACCGGCTGCTTCATATCCCCCACCCTTTCCGCTCCACCATTGTCAGGTAGGCTGTCAGCCTTTCTGAGCTTAGTCCATCCAGCTTGCTCCCTCTCTCACTTCATTCGAAGTCTATCTTGCTGCACTTTCGGTCATCTTTCTGCCCCATCCTTTTCGGCTCCCACCAGTATCAAAGTATTGGGTGCTAAGCCAGTATCATAGGATCATAGAATCTTACAGCACAGAAGAAGGCCATTCGGCCCATCGTGCCTATGCAGGCTCTTTGAAAGAGCAATCCAACTTGTTCCACTTCCCCTCTCTTACCCCACAGCCCTGCAATATTTTGTTAAATGAAACAAAGTACTGTTAAATGCTTTGGGGCATTCTCCCGATGTGAAAGGCACTATATAAATGTAATTTTTCATTGTATTGTATTGTCCACGTTCCTGTGTTGTGTGCTCTTCAGAATGAACATTACAGAATGTGTGCTATATGGTGCATTTCATGTAGGATGAATGTCTTAAAACAATTCATAACAACGTTGGCGATTACCAGGCAGACAGGAAAGAAGAAGTTTGAGGACACTGAGCAATGGCACCATTAAAGGTATTTGTTAGTAAGAGGATTTTTGAAGTCAGGGAGAGAACTGCAAGGTGAAGAGATTTGGAAGTGAGTTCAAGCTTCATGAACGCTTGAGAAGTATGTGCGCATGGGAAGAAGGAATCATTGGCTTTTCAATGATAGGGGTTAGTGACATTTGGTGAATACACATCAGACCTATATTATCTCAGCATTCTGAAAGAAAAATCATAATTTCTTGACAACATTCACAAGTAATTTTACAGTGATTGTAGCAAGCTCTTACTCTACAGTAAACTTACATCTGTGGAACTACTGCCAGGATTACTGTGTTTTCTGCTGGTTTTGTAGCTCGAATTGATCTAGGAAGAAAAATGCAGTGAAAGGTTTGTACAGTCCATCCATCCTGTTTTGACTTTCAATAAACCATTTGACCACAAAGCTGAAATAAAGGAGTCAAATTTACAAGTATTTCTGAAAGCTTTTCTTAAATTGTTTAAGGAATAGTTTAAGAAATACAAGTAGTAGGTGTCTGTCTCTAGATAAGAGGTCTCAAAGTCATTTTGTGCAGCCCTTTAGGGATCAATTTTGTTTTGTAAATTCTAGGCCCTACATTGGGTTTTGGGTTCTTCTTTTGGTTTAAGAGTCCTTTCCCACGATTGATCTGTCTAAGAGGCCTGAAGTTTCACCTTCAAAATATGCAGTCAATTCACTTAAACAGTACAAATACGTCTCAACAAAATGAGAAGGCGCTATATCAAATGCAAGGATTATTATTATATTTATCTTCTTATCAACTAAAATTGATTAGCACTTCCTGCTGGTATTTTTTATAGGATTATTTAAATAAGTTAAGGAATGCTTTCAGGAAACAGTGCAAAATTTACCCCCACAGTATTGAAACCCACTTGCTTAGCACATTGTTGGAAATTTTGATTACCATTAAGGAGGCAGTAACCTGTCTGACGTGACCCACAAGCAATAAAGTCTATTTGACTAACTTGGGGATCTGTAATGAGTAAAACTTTCTGAATCAGTCAAATAAAATCTGATTTGGAACCATTTTAAATTTGGATGTGTCAAACTTTTTAAGTATTTCTTTACTAAGAAACAAAAGGACATATGTGTAATTTTGCGCAATATAGTTTGTTCCACCAAAAGTTTTCTTTTTTGTTGGTGAAAGTGAATTGGTAAAAATATGAAAATAATTAATCGATTTTTTTTTCAGTGTGAGGATGGTGCATGCCCATTCATTTCTAGGAATCAGCACATTCAACATCTGAAACCAATTGTGTGTCTGCGCAAAGTTAAGAAGTATGTAAAGTAACAAGTTCACAAGACTAGTTTGAATTAAGAAGTCCCTTTAGCCCATCGAATCTCTTCCATTCAGAACACCCACCCTACTGTACTCCCATCACAGCATCAAGCTGCTTTTTAAATGGGTCCAGTGGTCTGGCCTCAACCACCCTAACTGGTATCGTGTTCCAGTCATTAATTGCCCTTTGGGTAAAGAAATACTTCCTGGTATCTGTCCTGAATTTGCCCTTTGCAACTCTAAACTTATGTTCTCTTGTTCTACTGTCTTGATGCATTGTGAAATTGTTTTGGGTTTACGTTTTGAATCCTATTTAAAATGTTATACACCTTTTGTCACCTTTTGTCTAATCATTGCTCATAGCTCATTCCTCTAATACTGGGGATCATCCTCATTGCATCTATGGCCAGGCATGTCATGGTGACCAGAACTTTATGCAAGCATAGTATGGCCTGACCAGGGCACTAAACAACCTGTGTATGGTGTCTGGGGATCTAAACTCAACTGATTTAGTAATACAGCCCAGCATTTGTTTTCCTTGTTTATTGCTGCCTCATACTTTTATGACATAGTGAGTGATGAGTCAACCCCTACAACTCTTTCAGCTTCCCCTTTAGAAGTTCTATCCCATCCATGGAGAACATGTATTTCCTATTCTTAATTCCTATATGTAGGATCTTGTATTTATCTGTATTAAACTTCATTTGCCAGTTACTAGCCCAAATGCGTACCTTAGCAAAGTTACTTTGTAGGATCTTTGTTGCGCCTTCCCCCAACTTGGTGTCATCTGCAAATGTATTTCTTACACTGGGCTTGCAGTTCACTAATATATACAGGAGGGTCTCAGTACAGACCCCAGAGGCACTCAGCTTAGAACGTCTCCCCATTTTGACCTTTCTCCAGTGACAAAGACCTTCTGATTCCTATCCTTCAGCCAATTTGGAATTCATGTCCACATCTTACCCCTAATACCTAGTAACCACAGTTAATGTCAAATGCCTTTTGGAAGTTTAGATATGATAATAATCCTTACATTTGGAATAGAGTCTTATCACGTATTCGACACATCTAAAAGCATTTCACAGGATATACTGTAAAGTGCATTGAGTGTATTTTAAGAGCCAATGTGGCAGCCAATATGCACACACCAATGTCCCACAGACAGCCAAGGAGTGAGTGACCAATTTTATTTAGGGGATGTATTGGCCAGGAAACCGGGAGAAACTCCTTTCTCTTTTTGAATAGTGCCGTAGGATCTTTAACGTCCAACTGAACAGGTGTGACGGCACCTTGGTAACGTTTCATCCTAAAGTATACTAGATTATATGATTTCACAGTTAATTTGGGCTGCCACCTCCTCAAAAAGGTCTATGAGTTGATCAGACAAGACCTACACTTTCTGAACTCATGTTGGCAGTCATTTATTAATTACTTTTATATAGGTAATCTTCCACTTCCTTTCTGATGATTGACTCCAAACGTTTTCCAATTATTGAGGTCAAGCTAATGGATCTACACTTCCAGGTATGATTCTGTGTCCTTTCTTGAATATGGGAACAATACCTTGCTTCCCAAATGCATATGTCATAACTGGATATTTTGCTAGGGGGTGAAGGTAAAATATTTATACTTTTGTACTTACTTTTTTTACAGTAGAATTGAAGATAGAGATCATAGAAAGAAACAGAAAATTAAGAAGTGAGAAACTCAGAGAGAGAAAGAGACAGAGCGAGAGGTAGAAGGGGAGATAGCAAAGGGCTGGACCAGTGTGGTACTATAGTGACCACGCAATTCCAGATGGAATATTGTTTTAGTTAGTGCTATAGCCAATTTGTATTTTGAGTGATGTCCAATTATTTGCTCAGTTTGTTTATCTGCAAATAGGTTGCTCCCAATGTGTTCAACAATAAAACAACTGTTTGGATAGCACCTGGCTTGTTTTTAATTTTTTGATATTCCAAAATAAATCCAGATTTTCACAAAATGTATCTTTACTTGTGATGATCCTCTCCCCCAATTTATGACATGAAAAATAGATTCCAACCCCCTCAAAAAAACTTTTTAAAATTTTGTAGCAAAACCTGATACTAATGGCACTTAAATATAACTCACTTCTCCAGAGGACACTAATATATACCCACCTCTGAATCAGGCAAAACAGAATCAGGTAACCAGTATTCACACCGCATTAGACAATGAGGAAATCAGATACAAGTCATAATTAGATTGGAAACTGAAGCAGACTACCATTATATAACTAAAGAGCCAGGCACAAACCCCGTCTTGTACATTTTTCACTAGGCTATAAAGGATTTTGGCACAGAACCTATCCAGGCTGCCAAGAAATCAGATTAGACTATAAATCGGTTGCCAGCAAATAATAATAAAACGATAATCCTTGCATTTGATACACTGTAGTGCCTATAATGTTAAATTGTTTCACAGGGAATTGCTATCAAGTGTAAGTTAACATGGCAGCCAATTTGCATAAAGCAAGGTCCCACAAACAGCCATGAAGTGAATTATTAATTCATCTGGAGGATTGTTGGTGAGGACATCAGGAGAAATTCCTTACTCATTTTGAATAGTGTCATAGCAGCTTTGTTATCCACCTGATGGGAAGATGGAACCTTCTGATTCATCTGAAGAATAGCATCTCTGATAACGCAGAGTTTCCCACTAGAGCACAGCAATGTAAGGCTGAACTGTCATTTCAAAGCCCTGATGTGGACTTGAGTCTAAAGGCTTCTGATCCAGAGATGTGAGTGCTATCAAGATTTCCGATCAGTCTGCTAGAGAGTCAGATCATATCAGCAGTGGTCTTCAAGGGAATCAGAGTAGACCAGGGAATTGAAACAGACCACCTCTAGACCACAATGTAATCAGTTCAGCCACCACTGGTTTTCCAGGGCATTTGATGCTTGACACGCATTTTGCAACAGACTACCAGGAAATGACACGCACTAGACTGCCAGACCACCATAAAAGTGCCATAGAACCAGACTCAGATAAGCAGTAGCTTGGAATAGAATCAGAAAAAGGCCACTTTTAGACCACCAGGGATAGGATATCAAAATAGAGTATCATTCTGAATATAATTTTTTACCTAAATCACACTTTCAAATTTGCTGCTTGCCTTATATTCACAGACTAACCAAAGCATGTGAACATGTGAAGTTGTGAAATGCAAGCACAAATGTTCAGCAGCATGTATGGTGAGAATTATAAAATAATAAATAATAATCCTTGCATTTGATATAGCGTTTTTCACATCTTCTAGACGTCTCAAAGCGCTTCACAGAATATACTGATAAGTGAATTGACTGTGTATTTGTGGGCAAAATGCAGCAGCCAATTGCGCACAGCAGTGTCCCACAAACAGTTGTAGATTGAAGTGACCAATTTATTATTGTTTTTTCTTGAGGGATTATTATCAGGCGTGCGGAGTAAGGAAACTCGCCCAAGGTTTCACCCTCCAGGGAATCGAACCCAGGTCTCTCGCTTGACATTTAATGCTGTCATGTGATATTTCTAAAAGTGCAATTTTCCTGCAAAATGCATGTCAATCGTGCGCCTAACAAACCTGCTTGCGCACAATTTCTCATATCTCATGTTTTCACATTACTGGCTTGTTTTTGCCAGTTATGTGCATACATGACAGACTAATGCAAAGACAGATTTTAGTAGAGAGAGGGGAATCAGACAGAGAGTGAGATAAAGTCATACAGTGACACATAGAGATAGAAAGATAGGGAGACTCAGAAAGAGAAGGCGAGGAAGAGTCTGAAAAGGTGTTAAGAGTCAGAGAGAAAGAAAGACTGACCAACTAGTGACTATTCTCCATGGTGGAGGGAGGGGTGTAGAGAGGTAAGAGGAGTTACTTGGAGTTGAACTGGTTTCAAGTTAAGGTGCTTGGCAACAGAATGTCAGAAACAAATGAACTCTTTCTGGTAGTCTCGGTTGCCCAGTTCGTGAGACAGGAAGGTCCGTGGTCCTTCAAAACATTGCTGATGACAGGCCAACCAGGGTGGCTCATCAGCAGCACTTAGAGGAGCAGACAAGTCACTGAGAGCATGGATTTTTCTTACTTGGCTCCTATTAACTCTGCAATGTTCCTAGCAGGACAAGCAGCGGAAAGCTTGTCGGACAGTGCCCTCAACGGCAAGATATGTGATTTTAGCTGGTTAAACTCCAGGCATACCCCAACGCACACTCTGGGATTTGCAAGCCTTTACTCTGCCATTCTGTGCCTAATACTCTCTGGAATTACGTAAGCAGGGTCATTGTATATTGGGAACAATATGATAAACCAAACACTGTGAAGTCTGAAAATATTTTAAATAAGTGATTTAATCTGAAACAACCAAGTTGTAAATCAACTCACAATAGGATTACAAACACAATTCTCTTGTATCCTCCTATTCTCCCAACATCAAACTTCAAATTATGTGCTACATTATATAAACAAAACCACATGCCACAGTCATCATACCAAGGTTTCATATACCTGTGGCTGAGAAATTTGTTGTATTATTACCTGCAAACAGCTTCTGCATCAAAGTATTTGGCATGCCTGTGGTCAATAATTATAATTTCATGATGTTTATCTAGAAAGCATTCCAGGGCGGACTCTGGTGTCCGTGCAATGTTGCACTTGTAGCCAGCTTTGTCACATGCCCACCAAAAGCTATCGCTTTGGTTGTCCTCTTTTGCGAAAACAAGTAGAACCTACAAGAAAAGGAGATATAGCAGGTGAAATAAGGACACTAGTATAAGGTACAGTGCTTTTCACTTCCAGTTACTGAGGTTCAAATCAGCCCACAGATCAGTTGAGTTAACAATGTGCTACTGAAAGCTACAGCATCACAGCCAAGTCCCTGAGGAGAAATAACCTTCTGCAGTTAAATGTATCCCAAAGGTCTAGTTGACACCTGCAATGAACATGTCAAATATCCTTTGTTTTTACTGTCAGTTTCACCTTTTACAGTAATGCAATTAATCTTTTTTGTATAATTTACAGGAAAACTGTCAGATTTGTCGAGTTGAGGTAGAGAGATCATCGAACTGTGTCCAAAGCATAAATTAATATATTTTTCTAGTAGCTGCTCTTGAATCATCTTTTATTCATTCCTGATGTTGAAATGTTACCAAATTCTAACTATGTTTTGAATCTGAAAAGTATTTTCAATCCGAGGAGCATTTTCTGCATTCCCTAAGTGCAAAGCACTTGTATCACTTATTCAGTTAGGATCATGTTTGCAAATCCCACTGATCAGCCAAGCAGATTGCTCAACTGCCAGCAGAGCCTTAGATTACTGAGAAAATTCCTGACTTAAACATCCCCTTGGAACCAGTTGAAGCTCAGAGAGATTCACTTACCTTCCCCTTGACAGTAGTTTTGATCCTCATTGGTACAACAACAACTTGCATTTATATAGCGTCCCTCACTCAGGTCAGCATCCCAGAGCGCTTGGCAGTGGCGGAGCATGACGCTGAGCGGGGGGAGGGGGAGGTGACTGTAGGTACGGTTGAATAGGAAGGTCTTCAGGCATGACCTGAAGATGGGGAAGGAAGGGGCAAGGCGGGGGGATAGAGGAAGAGTGTTCCAGAGCATTGCTGATTGCTTTGCACGGTTATAACTGGCTGTAATGTTATGAGCACTTTTCCCTACACTAAACAAGTTAAGTAATAACCTCATGATCTGTGTACACAAATTGGATGCACCTATCATTGTATTATTAGTTCACTATCAGTTAAGAAGATTAATGTACAAATAAACTTTACTTTTGATTGGATAATGAGATAATCCATGACTCATGAGATAATCTTTGCATTGATATAGCACCTCTCACACCAGGAGAATATCTCAAAGCACTTCACAGGAATTATTGTAAAATATAGTGCTGCATATTTTGTTAAACAAACACAGCAACCAATTGCCCTATGAACAGCCATTACATTAATGACTAATTTTATCTGGTGGATTGCTGGCCAGGACACTCATAGGAACCCTCTTCTCTTTTTGAAAAGTGCCATGGGATATTCAACATTTATCTGAATGGGCAGATGGAATCCTGGTTTAACACCTCATCCGAAGGGTGACATCTCCAACAATGCAGCACTCTCCCAGCAGTGTATTGGAGTATCATCCTGGATTATATGATTTCAAAGTCCCGACTTGAACCCATAACCTTCTTACTCGGAGGCAAGAGTGCTACCAACTGAGCCAGGTTGGCACTTTCAACACTTGCAAACACTTTCCAGGTAAATACATTCCAAGCTTATTATCTTATAAAAAAATCCCTTCTGGATGAGGTACCTCACATTAACACTGACATCTCATGAGATGAGCATTATTATGGAAAGACAAATAGTCTGAATTTCATTTAATTAAACAAAGAAATAACTAGGCAAAACACAGAGTCCAGAGAGGAAGTTTGTCAAAAGTTGCTATAATTATTATTGTAAGTAAAGCAGAGCCCTATCAATGCAGTTATAAATCAATGTGCCTTCTGTTTTACACTGTCAGCTGAAAGTAGTCATCTGCTTCATTCCTTGCACTTTGCTAGGTCCTAGTACTTCAACTAGGATATTTTATTTACACTGTATTAGGTTGTGCTATGTTAGAAGAAAACAAAGAGTTTATTGAATATAGCACTATATGATATCGAGCTAGTCACAAGCTATTAATAAGGACTCCTCCCTTGGCACAATTATGTGATGTAAGAGAAACAGCCTTGCAGTATTGGTAAAATAATCACAATTCAAGTCATTATAGAATTTTGAGAATAAGCCAGCTTTTTTACCAATGGGTACAAAAGATTATTGTTTTCCTGAATATATTTCCCCCCCATTACGTTGCATGCACAGGGTCCTGAATTGCACTATTTCTTAATGGGATTCCTCAATAATGAATCAATAATAAATTTTGCCAAATTGAAAGACAGGAACTATACATGGAAATAACTGGAAATATGCCAGATGGAATCAATTCAATGGGATCTGCTTCCAAGTGGAGTTCCAGATCATCTCCAAGAAATCTAACAGGTTCCTTATTTAAAGAAGCTTCTAAGAAATAATCTATGTTATGGCTTATGATTTCAGAAATATTTAAAAATCTTAGTTGTCGAGATAAAATTGGCAGTGTGAAATCTAAAGTGTGATGTGTTAAGTCCAGCAAAGGTTTATAGGAAGGAAGTCCACATTCTGCGGATCTTTTAATCCCATCATCCCTCTCCTTCTCCGTATCACTGAATATAGTTCTTCCCCCCTCCATCTTTCCTTAACATACCTTGTATATATTGCTGCCCCCACGTTCTTCCGATCGATGACTTCCTGAATGCCATTATGGTGCCATTGATATAATATAAAATCTTAGCACAATGATTGTCATACGTATATGTTTATATATACACATTGATTTATTTCAAAAAACAATGGTTAGCTCGGGGCACAATTAGAATTGTTTTATGGTTTTACTTTTACCTGCCTGAGATCAGTTCCCCTTATTCTGAATCTATTTTCCTTTTCAACTCCATCATTAATTTAAACACCTCAGTCCACCACCCATTAAACTCTTCAATTACAGGAAATACAGCCCACTTTAGCCAGCTTCTCAACTTCCAACAACAACACCAACTTGGATTTATATAGCGCCCTCCACGCCGGGGGCTGTCTCAGAGCGCTTCCCAGTAACGGATTCCGGGGCCGAGCCAGGGGAAGGGGGAGGAAGGTGACCAAAGGCGTGGTCGAAAAGAAAGGTCTTTAGCCGAGACCTGAAAATAGGAAGAGAGGGAGTGAGGCAAAGGGAGTGAGTAAGGGTGTTCTAGAGCCTCGGGAGGTAGTGGCTGAAGGTACGGCTGCCGATGGTGGAGCAGAGGATTCGGGGGACGAGGAGGAGGCCAGACCCGGTGGAGCGAAGGCAACAGGTACTGTTATGAGGAGAGAGGAGGTCAGAGATAGGGAGGTGCAGAGGAGTGGAGGGATTTGAGGATCTTGAAGTCGATCCTCTCTGGGACAGGCAGCCAGTGCAGTCTGGCAAGGACTGGGGTCATTGGGGAGCGGAGTTTGGTGCGGGTAAAAATGCAAGCGGGAGAGTTTTAGATGACCTGGATTTTGTGAATGGTAGTGAGCGGAGATTGGCGAGGAGGGCATTTGAATAGTCCAGCCGAGAGGTGACAAAGCTATGGACCAGGGTTTCAGCGGCTTTTGGAGAGAGGTATTGGCGGAGACGGGCGATGCGTCGGAGATGGTAGAAGGCGGTGCTGGTGAGGGACCGGATGTGGGGGAGGAAGGATAATTGGGGGTCGAACCTGACGCCTAGGTCACGTTGACGAAAGCCAAAGTGTACGGTTTCCGTCTTGACAACGTTCAGCTGAAGGAAATTTGCGCTCATCCAGCTCCTGATGTCAGACAGGCAGGCTGACAGAACATCAGGGGACTGGGGGTCGCAATGTGAGGTGGAAAAATAGAGTTGGGTGTCGTCTACATACATGTGAAAGTGTACCCCATGTCTGTGGATGACATCCCCAAGAGGAAGCATATATATCAGAAAGAGGAGGAAGCCAAGTATAGATCCTTGGGGTACTCCGCAGGTAACCAGGTAAGAGCGGGAGGAGAAGCCGTTTGTGCAGATGCACTGCTGCCAGTTCATGAGGTAGAACTCGAACCAGGCGAGTGCGGTCCCACTGAGGTGAATGACGGAGGAAAGGCGGTGGAGGAGGATGGCGTGATCGAATGTGTCAAAAACTTCCTATGGACTTCCTATGGACTTGGTAGTTCAACTGATGACCTTAAGAGGCAACACGCATGTCTGTTGCGAGAATAGAAAAAGTAAAATTGGTGTAACAGGTCTAGATTTACTCTATTAACATAGCATTTCAGAATGTGGAGAAGTTGGCAAATCCTTAAATGCAGCCTTAATTCTGAAGCCGTTCTTCTGTAAACTCTTATAAAAACTTTGAAAACCAACTTCGAAGTTAAGACAGAATTCAGCAATTTGCTAACTTCTGGATATTCTAAAATGCCTGGTTGGTACAGTGTGTCTAAACCTGGTGGATTCCTGGGCAGAATAGAAGGAGTTTCATTTTATTATCATTATTATCTGGCTATTCCTGTTTTAAGAGTGCTTGATGTGAGCAGGACTCTTCTAAGTAACAGCTTGGTGCTGTACATTTAAGTTTTTCTTCTATTGCTATTGCTGACTTTTATCATCCAGGTTCCTCTCTTTTGTTCACATAGTTGTGAATTATGAGTCAGACACTGACTCACAGGTGCTGGTATGTGCATTAAATGAAAATGAGTAATATGTGAATTTATAATAATAATCTTTTAGTTTGATATTTCGCACATCGAGAGGAAGTCTCAAAGCCTGGAGTGACTGTGTAACTTGTGAGCAAATAATGCAGCCAATTTTTGCACAGCAATATCCCGCAGACATATTAATTCATATATATCAAGTTCAATTTTATACAACTCCTGATAAAATGATCTATTTCTGTCTGATGCCAGAAATTAAACATTTTTAAATTAATACTTCCTAATCAAATTTATTTTCCATTTAACAGCATTTTACGTCTAACATTTTCCAAAACTGTGAGCAGAATATTCTACCCTATGAGTATCTTTCCCTTCTAGTGAATCGAGTTTGAAAAAGAAAATTCTACTTAGACTTTGTGGAGCCCAGAATCTGCGTGATCAGTATGTTAGTCTTGCAACACTACCTGTCA